GATTAACGCTCGACATTCACTGAATAAATCGACATTCACGATTTCAATCTATTCCATACCTTCAAATTTAGATACGGTAATTCTCAATTTCTCCCCCGACTTCGAAGGACTTCAACTTTCCCCTCTCTCCTGACAGGCCGGCAGCTTCCGCGGGCAGCCATGTTCAGGCGTCGAGTATTCATGAAGAGATGACATGTGGTCGTCTCATCCAGGATGTGTTCCTGCTCTGACGGCTTGCATGCGAAGGATTTAAATGTTGCATTTGCGGACGTACTATGTTAATCGAAATACTGTACTGTGCAGTACAGCACTTTATACTGTATTTCCCGTTTGGCCCGTCGGCACCCCTGTATTATAAGCCAGAAGTGCATGGCAAGATAAATGGCTGGAGAAATGGTTAGCACATGTGGGTACAGTATATACTTCACAGCTTAATTCTTCCAAAAACCAGCTGGCATAATACAGGGTATTTATAATGCAGTATGCTGGATACTAAAGTAAATGTTATTACATAACAGTGTTAGGCATTTCATGGAATTGCTAAGAATTCAACAAAATCCGTCTAATTATTTTTTCTGACTGAATTGATTGTAATACATTATTAGATTGTGTATTTTTTTATATTATTTTATTTTGCATGTTTAAAAATGTGTCAGAATATTTCTAGAACCTTTTGTTCGTCTGAATATACAGTATACACAGAGGCAGACTTTCTCATATATCACCTTGTATGCAATCATTTTCTTTGCATATAGCCATTTAGACTTTCTCATATTTGCAATCACCTTGTATGCGACTATTTTCTATATATGCATAGCCATTTTTCCGATGCATATATATATATTTGAAAAATAGTTCTCCCCCACTTACCCCATGGGTTTTCCCCTTCAAATTTTTTCTACAACAAAATTTTTCTTGTTGTACCAGAATTTTGCTGTGAAGAGAGCCCAACTGTATATACATACATATATAGAACATATATTTTGTCTCATATATATATACATGAGACAACATATATGTACTGTATATGTTTCTTGAGCAAAGTATATAATAAAAATACGCATAAAAAATGAATGAATTGTCCAACTTTTTCTGCGTTCTGCTGTGTTGTATAATATGTATTTCTGTGACACATGTGCTTCCCATTTGATTCAGTCTGAAAAAGATATGCACCAACAGGGTTTGAGGATATATTGAAAAGTTGAATGTATAGCACGTGGAATATTCTCATTTTCAAGACAGCGAGACATCCGATATATTTTCTATCATTAAATTGCGTAGTCCAATGCATTTAAATATATGGCGTTGCTTCCATCAGCTGTGTGCTGTCCATTTTGAAAATGAAAGCACATCAGGTGTTATGTATACGCTGTATATATATATATACTTGTATACAGTTTCTCAGCTAGATCAGAAACAGCCAGCAACCCAGTCGGCATTGCCATTACGCCTGCTGCCAGCCCTGCACTTCTGCATCCAAGACGGAAACACAGCAAATCCAGCCCTGGTGGATCCAATCACTTTCTTGATGCATGCCACATCATCCGCAATGTTGTCATCAATCAGTGCTGCAAAGATATGAATGTTTTCTCATCATCAGCTTTTAGAAAAGCTGCAGTTTTTGGAAAATACAGCAGCAGTATACAAAATGAAAAATTTCAAAGTATATAAATAAATTTTGCTGTGAAACATTCTCTGTGTTGCCATGCTGGGTATAATATTGAAGGGTGAGGCCCCATCTCGCCGGAGCAGAACTCTTGGTCGTCCAAACTCTTCGCCACTGCGCACCCCATCCCCTCAAGCTGTGCGCCCAACACTCTCTCTCCTGTGGTCGCGCATGAGTGACTTCAAGACTTGGGAATAAATCCCTTATGCAGGAAGTGGTGTAGCATGGACTCCATGTGAGAAAAAATGATTTATCCATATATTTGTGAAATGATATGATGAGGTGTTCCATGGGTCTTTTAGATGTCAGCCATATTTTCTTAAATGTGCTTTGACAACAAGTGCATTTGACAAATTGTATTCAATTGTGGGTTTGACAAGTGCCTCTTATTCTGAGGCCTGCTTGACAGCAGTTTCATTGAACTTGGGCATTGTATTACTTCAAGCAAGAAATTAGCTTCAAGAGGTTCCAACAATTTGGTTTCATGGGTTTAGAATGACCAAGATTGTTCAGCAATAAAAGTATTGCATAGGTCTTGATGACAGTTTTTTATTGAGCAGACAAGATAATTTCTTGGACACTGCCTGCATTATTCAGATACAACAATCTAATTTTGATCAGGGCAAGGCTTCAACAAAAATACAATAATTGATCAGTTGAGGAAGTCAGGAGTTTTTGACACAAGGATCAAATTCTGCTGCAAAAACTATTGTTGCAGTACTGTATATTATGTCAATGCATTAAATATGCATTCATATTTAGTGTGTAATGAAGAATGTATACATCAAGGTTTTTATCAAGAATTTTTCAAGCTTTCCAGGGTGGTGAGTTCTTATTAGATAGATTCTACCAGTTTGACAAGAGTCCTAGCCCTTCCTGTACAAGAGATCATACTCTAAAAGAGTTTGCTTTCTAAAAGAACAGGACACTTTCTGCACCATGAGACTGCTTTTTAACAAATATAGGCCAGCAGTTTTAAAAGACAGTATATTGGCCTGTTTTCATTGGAATGAGATTTTGACAAGAAGCAAATTCAAAAAATGGTAGAATTTTTGACACATGCAATGCCATTTTCATAAGCATATAGTCATCTACTATATATGTGATGCCTTGCCTAGCAAATGCACTGGCAAATAAACAACCTGCCAAACTAACACCAGAAACATAAATAAATGACTTTCCTAGCATACACTGGCCTGCCTTCAAATTTTTGCAGGCCTGCCCTTAAAAAAATTTATTTAAAAAATAATGCTGTTGTTTCTTCCCCTCAACAAATAGATTGTTTCTAAAGCATTTTTGTTGAGGAAAAGTGAGAAGAATGGAAGGAAATTGTAATTGATGATATTGTATGCATAAAATTGCTTCCTAAATTAGTTGACAGGATGTAAAACTTGGAGGAAAAGGTTCATTTGCCTCATGATCCTGCACTTCCTTTCAAAAGTTAGTAAAATTTCATTTTTATGGCTTTCATTTGACATTATTATAACATTTATATGTCTCTCATATATATTCCTGCTGTGATAATAAAATCTAAGGACTCCAGAATCCAATGTATGGAGGTTTGAGGTGAAAGTCTGAGAGTCAGGGAGGTTTTAATACAAGTTGTTTCTAATGAAATTCAGACATAGACTTGAAAATATTTTGACTTCAGGAAATTCCAAGTGCCAGTTAGCCCTATAGTTCCAGTTTAGCTTGCAAGAGGTCTAACCAGTGCTTGTATCTCATGCAAAAGTGACATCTATGCATAGTCATACTAGAGGATTGACTTCTACTTTGCTCATAGATGTCGCATATGCATGAAGTACAAGTAGTACACTTTCTATATGTCATTCAGAATGGAGAGCATCTAGCTGATTTAAATAGGTATATCTTCAGAAGAAACTTCAGGTGTTTTAGAGTATTTTTCTTTGAACTTCTTAAAATGCAGGCAATTTCTATCATTTTAGCAGTAGATTTCATTTACAGGAACCAATTAGTGGATTTTACATTGGGCCTCACAAGAAAAAATTACTTGCCCTACAAATAATGTTCCACCTAGCAAACGCAGTCTTGGAACTGCATGCTTGTGTTTGCTATGCCAGTCACCCATGTATTGATTTTTTTAATTGTGCAATCCTATAGCAAATAATCCAGGTGTATGCAAGCAGTAAAGGTAGGCATGAGAGTGCACCTGTTTTCAACCAATAACATATGCAGTTTGCATGGTACAAATTTGTATTTGTGTCAGGTTTCCTCGAATTTATTCTTAAATTATAAATGCTCCAGTGGGCTGACTTTTTTTTAATTTGCAGGGGCCTATTATTCCCCTGGTGAACCCATGATGCTGCAGCATCATTAGCACCTGCTTTAATCTGGCCCTGCCTTAAGGTACTTCTATGATGTGGATGTACTAGTTCAAACAAATTGTCAAACTGTCCTCACAGTAAGTCAAGTTATGAGCTCCATCTGTATCAAATTTTCAAACCACAGTTCAGGAAGGTTTTCACTTTCAAATCTGATCAGTGCAGAAACTGGAGGTTAAAACTTTGTAATACTTGAATGAAAAAAAAGTGGACTCCTTTCTACAGTGAAGAAGTTGTCCTGTGAAACCCCTTATTCCAGTGTGAAAATCCTTACTAGACCTGGTGTCACAATAGTCCTGTGACACAGCCCAGCGCGCACCATAAACTCAAACCCTCAAGTCCGTCACTAGTGTGCCTGAAGGAGAGAGTGATGAGAATAGGGAGGGAGGGGATGGGGGTACAGTGCCTTAGAGTTTGGCTGACCAAGAGTTCTGCTCCGGCGAGAAACTACACCACCATGTTCACCCTGCAAAAGCCTCCATCCACAAAAATACTGTACACCCACCCCGGGACTTCACACCGCGCATTGGGTATAGTAAGGGTTGAATAAGGAATAGGAGACTTCGACCAGACTTTCAGGCACACAGTTTAATATCACAACTAGACACGACGTCAGATAGGTCACAGATAAAATATAGAAGATGATGATCAGTCAAGTAATTGGTGGGCAATGTTATTTTCAAAACACAACAATAACGCGCATTTCATTCATTTATTGATACAAAGTTTGGTTTCAATTTTCTTGAATACTTCAGAAGTTAAAGAACGTGCATCTTTCAAATATTATGAATGTAATGTGCATCTTTTAAATAATGTATTTGCTGTATTGAAAATACTTCAAAAATTGATAGCTCTGCATATATATATATATATATTTGCTGCAGTTCTGCGTTGGGAAAGCGATTTTGCTGACCGAATTAATGCTGCTGGAGAAGAAGTACTGTACTGTACTGTACTGTACAGTAGTTTTAAAACTTACAGGTGCAGTTGACCCTGCAGATGTTGAGGTTCAATCTAGTGCTGGGATTGGGTTGGCAAAGGAGCCGATCATTGATTCCAAAGAGCCCGTAGTCGGTAACATTAAAAGTCCGCCCGCCCGATGGCCGCCCTTCACCACTGCTGCTTCCACTTCCGGAATTGCTGCTGCTTCCACTTCTGGAATTGCTGCTGCTTCCACTTCCGGAATTGCTGCTGCTTCTATTGTTGCGTCTGCCCCTATGTTTGTCATCTTCAAAGCTGTTGCTATTGCTGTTGCTGTTGCTGTTGCTGCCAACAGCAGAGTCTTCAAAACTGTTGCTATTGCTGTTGCTGTTGCTGTTGCTGCCAACAGAGTCTTCAAAGCTGTTGCTGTTGCTATTGCTGTTGCTATTGCGTCCCAAGGGGTCTTCAAAGCTGTTGCTATTGCTGTTGCTGTCATCATCATCAGCAGCATCTCTTGGAACGATGATCCGATGCACTTCGATTGCTGCAGTGTTCAGTTTACTTTCCCAGAAAGCAAGACACACCCCTTTTTTTTGTAAATAAAGAAATGCAAAAATTAATCTGAACAACCATATCAGCAAGGAAATTAGATGCTGAACATTCGCATTTTTATGCAGAATCCCTTATTATCTCCGTTGTTTAAGAAAATTCATGAAAAACTGCGGAAAATGCTGAATCAAAGTACTGTACATGATTGTACAGTTTTTCCTTTGTCAGATATGTACAGCAGTAATAGCATCTCGTCGTATCAAACTATTGCTTGCAATATGACGAATTCATTTTTTTTGGGTCCCGGCCAAAAAGCCACCAGCAGCACAATTTTAAATTATATACTTTTTAGAATTTCTAACGAAGATTTTCCAAGTCTCATCAATTGGTGGCTTTGTCATAATAAGACTTTTTATCTGGAATTTTACAGCGACGTATGATACGCAATAGAATCTTATGTTGTATCAAATTAATGCTTGCAATGATGAATTCGTTAAATTTTTGTACCGGCCAGCAGCGCATTATTTAAATTTTTATCACTCTTTTTCAATTTGACCCATCTATTACGTGGCTATGTTGTAACATAAGATTTTGCTGCAGCTAAAATTATACAGTGACATATATACTGTGTACCTTTGGGATTTGTGTTAAATAGGAATTAAGGCAATTGTTTACGTAATGATAGAGATCAGAAGTAATCCTTCCAAATACAGTTGACAAACTGAATAGCAAATTTAAATTTTGTATAAGAATTCATTTTGTGTTCACTATTGACATTATTGTATAACTGTTCTGCTGCCTCCAATCAGCTATATGTACGATATTCACATTTTCAATTATTTCTATGAAAAACTTTTGAAAAAAAAATAATCGACCAGCAGTTACAGCTTAATCCCAACACAAGTCTATGGTGAGTCTTCAAATTATTCCTAAAAAGTTATCGTTCATATTACGACGTTTTTATTCCAAGATAATGGAAACATTTTTGGCAGTATAGCATAAGCTTGATGGTTGACGGGCTGAGTATATATACGCCATACATATGATGCTGCTGATTAAAGATGTACTGTATATACCCATCTTCTCATAAATTTCGTGTTTTTTTCTAAATTTACTGTACTTCTATAGTTGATTTTCTTTTTTTTTAAATGAACAATCTGGATTTTAAAAAAAAATTATTTGAGAACTCACATTCTCCAACAGTTGCTCGACTGATATTGTGGGTGTTGACGAGTTCCTGCGCAAGAGAGCAGTTGGAAAAAACTCGGGCGTTTGCGCCAATGCTGCAAAGAGTTACAGACAGGAAAACACCCAGGAGAAGTTGCGTTTGCTCCATCTTGTCAAAAAGACAATTTTCAAAAGTCTCTATTCTCTCGTATTTGTCGGTGAACTGCTTGATACTGCAAATGGAGGGAAGTGGCTGTTATTTATATGCGAGCAGAAATGTGCACCATTAATTGCCATCAGGTGTTCAATTTTTCTGCTGGAAACAGCTATAATAATTTTGCGGAGTGACAAGTGTTCAATGTCGTAAAATAAATTATTCGGGGAATCAACGTGTAACTTCTAAAGGTTTATATGCAATTGCAATAATGTAATGCAATAGACACCATTTGCCACCAGGTGTTCCATGTTTCTGCTGATGGAAACAGCTATAATAATTGCGGAATGGCAAGTGTTCAATGCCATAATATAAATGATTCGGGAAATCAACGTGCGAGTACTAAAGGTTTATTTGCAATTACAAAAATGCACATGGTCAAAATGTTGAACACTTGAGCGTTTAAATATAACAGCCTATACTGAGAAAAAGTCTGGCAGTACTGTACAGTATATGATACTTTCAATAAATAAAATAAAAAACAAATGCGACTTTTTTTCTGAATTCTGCGGTGGAAAAAATCATTTCTAAAGATTTTGAGAATGTCGATACAATTTTGCTATTTCAAGTAAGATTTTCAGGAGCTTCGGCATTTTTTCTTCAGGGTTTGAGGAAAATGAACTAGTAAAAATCTCGTGATGGGAAGGGAACTTTTCCACGACAGCCAGAGTTTCTTCCACACATTTCATAATAGGCTGAAATTTTGTCAAGACCAGCTGAAAAATCTAATTAATTTTTTCTGCATTGAGAATTGCCTTAACATTTTTCATTATTATGGAACACCACCAAAACAGAAAACGGCTTTTGTTTGTTTTTGCTTCACTATAGGGCAGGGTTTAATTTTTCAGAAAACTTTTTGGTCCGATTTTGGCCAAAATTTTCTGCCGAAAAAATGATTAGTTGCAATTGGGTTTAAATAAATGTCTGCAAATTGCTCACTCTAAAAGTCTGTACGCAGCAGCGGTACTTGTATCATGAATCATAAATATATAATAATTATAATGTAACCAATTGCAGACCAGGTCATATATTTTGCTCCTCTAATACTGTGCTCTTATGCATTTTTTCTGCTGCTGGCTGTTCCAGCTTTGGGCGCGTCATCAGCAGCAGTTACGCTCAAGAAACGAGTACAGGTGCATTCTCCTTCCTCAGGTGCAAAAAGCTCATTGCAGGCAGTATTGAATATAATGTTGCAGGCAGTATTGAATATAATGTTGAGTAAATGTTTAAACAATAAAGTTTCTCAGCGCTTTCAATGTCCCTGTTCTAAATTCTCTGTGATTCTTTTCTCGACCTTTTAAAAATCCTGTATTCATTATCAACATGTTGCCTAATATCTTCTTGCAGATGACTAACAGGAGGACGGACCATATATGCTGGAAAATGTAATTTATGGCAAATATATTTTTCAAGATGCAAAGAAAAATCCCTATACTGTATATAGCTGAAGTTCAAATATAAACTTTGCAACACAACTGATTGTATGAAACAATTTTTGCCAATTATTTTTGATTGAAAACAACTTTCACGTTCACTTTTTATTTTAACTTCGTGGATAGTCTTCTGTATATGCAGAAGACGAAACTTATTTACTCAAAAATATCAAATTCAGGCAGCTTCCTCGGTAATCTGCTGTATGAACGTCGATTGCTATTTGCAGGTTTTTATTTTGATTTAACGCCATATATGCAGCTGAATACAAATTGTAATACATGACAACTATTGGATAAATTAAAACTATATATTATTCAGATGTCCAGCATATATACATAGTCTATATATATGTAAACACATATTATATATCCGAAAATTTGAAGAAAAAATAACCGCCAAAATCCATCAGCATATCGTAGTGTACAGTAGATGAGAAGAAAAAAATTTCAGGCTAGACGTGAAATAATTTTGTCACATACAATATTGTTTATCGAAATAAGCGGCCTTGCATAATATGCTTTATACACTTTAATTTAGGAATGCAGTACCCTAACAATCAAGTACACTATACTGTAGTAATACCGCACGTATTATACAGAACATATTGAATATGAAATATTGATGGTGCAATTATATTCAATGGATCCAAAGCCTTTTTGCGGTGAACACAGGATGCAATTGTCAATAAATAAAGGGTTTTAAATGAAACAAAATTTAAAATAAAAAATAATGCTTATCTCATCTGCACATCCCCCAGCGCATCTTTAGCCACATATATATTTATGCAGTACAGTATATGCTGTATAAATACAATACTGATTACATGCCCGGCACAGCATAAGCTACGCACTATACTGTACTGCAGTGCATTGTACAGTAAATTATACAATGAAGTCCTGCATACAGCAGACAAAATTGAGCGAATTAACCCCGACTTTGGTTCATGGCCTGACACCGAATTCCCCTCGGATTTTCTTGCTTGTTTGTACAGTATTTAAAATGACCACCTTTGATGCGTTGAAAATTATATCCAGAGAAGCCTGGATGGATTTACTATCCATAGTGTACGGTGCGTGCACTTCGCAGAAGAACTGTGCATACCATATTTATGTGAGCTCTGTGACTCTACGCGAATTACTGTACACACCCTTAATTGAGTATGGTACAGTATTTCCACCTTGAAGTTAGATGAGTCGATGACCGCCGTGACGCGAGTTACGCTAGGGACTACCTAAGTTCTTCGCAATCCTGAAGTAAAATAGAGTACTGGAATTGAGTTAGCTTTGATTCAGGAAGCTGATCTACGTTTGCCTTCAGAAGGTATTATCGTTAACCATCGGAGTGGTCCTCGTTTCTACAATTTTTGTGATAAGTATTCCTTAATAGAGACCTGGCACGCCTAGGTACGACGCGACGCATTTGATGAGGCGAATGCACACCTATTTGAAACGTTCGTGTGAAATCTAATGCGTGTCTGATTTTTGTAAAATATGAAATTCCGAAAGAAGTCCAACGTGGGAGAGAAGCAAATGAAATGGTTTAGTCATTTGCGGTAATTTGATTGCAGATGAAGCTAGTGGACCTTGTAGACGCCAGATCGACTCGTGATCGACAACGATGAATGTTGCGCTCGGCTTTGATTGCTCAAACCAGGTTTACTTACCCCAGTCATCCACTAACGATTCATCATTCCCTGCCGAACCCGATCGTTCATTTTCATCCGAAAATATGGCTAGTCGAGGAGGACCGACGGTTGCTGGAACGGACGGAATGGATTTTCTCCACCGTGAACGTGTAGCGTCTCACTACCAGATCAGCGCGAAGAACAAATCACGGTTGAAATATTGCATCTGCTTTCATTATTTGTTTGTCATTGTCATGCTGGTGAAAATGATTCCTGACATCCTCGACCGCCTCGATATATTTATCCTCGAAATCGAGGAACTTTTCGTTCCCCCGGTACGTATAATGTCTCCAGGAGTTTGTCGTACGACTTCAACTGATGTATTTTTCAGCCGATGTTATGGGAGTACACATGGCTTTTTGGTTCCGTGTTCACGTTCAGCGGGATCACCGCGGTACGACGTAATCGCATGAGTAGCTTGAGGGTGAGACTCAGTTTTGGTAAATCCTGGGATTGTGCAAGACTAAAATTGTTTTACAGGTGTATCAAATTGGTACGCTGTTAACCGGACTGCTTCCTGTTGTCTTCGGACTCGTTTGGTTTGGTAAGGATGTGAAGATTTATGTGGAAACAAGATCTTTGGACAAGATTCAGACATGGCAGGTGAATGTTTCGATGCCCAATTTCCGTGACTTACGCGTTTCTGATTTTTGAATACTTCGTAGGGATATCCTTGGGCAATGCTGGTGTACGCGTTCCTTGTGCCTGTATTTCAACTCCACGCATTTTCTCTGTTCTTTGCTCATAAACTAGCCTCAGCATGGAAACAGAAGAGTACGAAGAAAATGAATTGAATGTCCCGGCTTTCCCTTCTATCACTCGACATGCCTAGGTTTGATGCCTTCCTGCCAGAGTATTTGGTTCGCGGTTACCCATTGTTGTGTGACTCCCGGCGTATCCAAATCACGGGGTTCTTGTGACTTAAAATGAACCCGGCACACATGATATGCTGCTGGGCTGTCATGTATGAGTATTTTAATGGTCCCTTTCGTTACCTTGCATGGACCAATAAAGTATGGCGCAAAGGAATGCTCGAATTTCATCCTGAATTCTGATGTGTTACGCGTGCGTATTATACTTATTTTGCGTATTTCCAGATATCGACTGGATTAATCGGAATTTCCAGTGATGGGTCGTTACGCGAAAGAACCCGACAATGCCACCAAGAGCTGTAAAGCTCGTGGTTCAAATTTGAGAGTGCACTTCAAGGTAATTATGCGAGAACCCAGTATGATATGCTGATGCGTAAATAACCGTTCATGTGCGGGCTACTTGAGTTTGCGAAGGATTAGGTGGCATTTTTGTAGCTTATTTGTTACTCAGAAGAGGAGCGCGACGTCGGCTCATTTTTCTCAGCACATACCAGTGCCTTTCTCTTGGCGAAATAACTTTCCTTGCTGAATCAGGTTTACGCCTTTTCTGAGTACGGTACCGTATTACTATTCGAATCCTTGTGAACTGCTATTAAGAGTTGAGCCACGATTCAAGTATAATGCTGATCAGAAGGTCTGATTGTTTGGCTGTTGCAGAACACGAGAGAAACGGCCCAGGCTATCAAGAAAATGCCACTCCGTCGTGCTATCAAGTTCCTGAAGAATGTGGTTGCCCACAAGGAATGTGTGCCTTTTCGTCGATTCAATGGAGGTGTTGGACGTTGTGCTCAAGCCAAGGCTTGGAACACCACCCAAGGCAGGTGGCCGAAGAAATCTGCCGAATTCCTTCTGCAGTTGTTGAAGAATGCCGAATCCAACGCGTATTACAAGGGGCTCGAAATGGATCATCTTGTCATTGATCACATTCAGGTCAATCGCGCCCCGAAAATGCGTCGTAGGACTTACCGCGCTCACGGACGCATCAATCGTGAGTATTGTTTTATTGAGGGAAGGTGGGCATCTCTTGGCCATCGCAGTCATTCTAATTTTTGAGTTCGAGCCGTTCTGTATTCTCACTCGAGGGAAAGATGAATTGTTTTCTTTTTTGGAAATGGCCTAAAGATATGCCGACGACTTCTTCGTTCAGTATTGGAATTTTACTTACGATTCGGTGCAGTACTTCGACTTCCGGATGCAGCTTAATTTTGATTAATGCGTGAATTCAGTAATGCTTTTTTGCTCAATCCCGCGTTTCGAATGCTAAACGCTTTTCGACATCTTCAGATACATCACATTAATTGATTTCTTTACCGCTTGAGTTGCATGTCACGGCAAGTTTCGTTTGAAAAATTTTTTTTTTCTCTGTTTTCTTTTCAACTTGATTTCCGGCATCATTTAATGAACTTGTTTGCCTTCCGTCAGCTTACATGTCAAGTCCGAGCCACATTGAAGTCATCCTCACGGAAAAGGAGCAGGTGGTGGCAAAACCAGAAGCGGAAGAGGCCGCCGGAAAGAAAAAAGTTTCGAAGAAGAAGTTAGCGCGGCAAAAGTTGATGCAGCGTGAATGAAAATAAAACTTCGATCTTGGCAGAGTTAAATCAGATTCTTTTCTTAAAACCAATGACGGTGCTTCATCTTGCTGATTGCCTCAAACGCGGTGCATCAGTCAAACCTTCCTACGATTATAGGGTTTCAAATTTTGCGCTCAAAATTTAATCGTTTATGGTCAGAATTTCCTGTAGCATAATTCAGTTTAACAAGCCTCGGAAACCTTCTCGCAAGTGGAGCATTCTCAATAATGTCTGACCTACCTCCACTTTGTAGAGGTTTGTTGATAGGATGCTCCTATGTTGGAGGAATGGCGATGATGTCCATGCTGATGGACATTTACGAAGGCAAGAATAAAGCCGGTAAAAGTCGTAACTGTTCAGTGGTGAGGGAATCTGCGGACAAAGTCATCAACCAGTCTAGAAGCTCGCGCCATCGGGATCTGGAGCAGCAGATGCACACCGGTTAGTTTCGGTGTGAATTCGTATTTCGCTTTTTCCACGATTTCTATTCGGATGCTCCGAATGTCAACCATTTCTTGTAACACAGTGCACCATTTTCAGGTCGAATGAGGGAGTTCGACGCTTCCGAAGAAGGTGTGACACAGGTAATATCTGTACCGAAGTCGCATCACTACCGCGATCGTCATCATCATCGTCATCACCATCGACGTCGGGATTATTCGAGATCGTCATCTTCTAGCCGCGATAATCGGTATCGTCGTGGACATGTCGATCACCATCGCAATTTCAAGCGTGAGTTGGGCGGATTTGTCAGCGGATCGCGTGAGGACAGCGGTCGAGAGAAGAGCGCTGATCCGGAAAAATACCGAAAGAAGTCGCGACATCGAAGGTGCAAAATTTGTCTACTGCTCCCGTGAAGTAGCAAACATTTTATACTGAGATGTGTTCTCTTGTTCAACAACCCTTCCATATTGCTCCATCGATTGTACTTCGTTACTGCTGCATCATTGTAGGAAGAAACTTCAGAATAGGAAAGCTGATCTAGAGTAACCGACCTTATGAAACTGAAACATACTCTTTCTTTTATTAACCTAACCATACACCAAACTTTTATACCCTCTTCCCTTACCTAATTTACTCTTGTCTTATCCCAGATCTAACTGGCTGAACCAAACCTTTAGCCTGGCCAACCTGTACGAGTATTGGTCCACACCCGGTTACACATCACACTACCGTACTGTACAGAAAAAATTTTTCTTTTCCTGCTCTCAGCTGCTTACTGTAATTGAAACAGTTGTCCCTATCACTTAACTGGTCTATTTATGATTCCTCGTATTTTCATCTCTTAACATCTTCGTGATTCGAGCATCTTGGTACTGCTTGATTGCAATAATACAGCTGGTGAAGTTTTACTTTTTCGTTAATATTTTGAAATTTTTGATGATTTATTTTTCGAAAGCATGCAATTATTGATACGGAAAGTGACGGCAATACTGTAATGATCCGCGGTTTTCACGCTTGATCTGATATCGAAGAAATCTAACAGAAATTAGCTTTAATGGATTCTAATGAAACCTGACGCTTTTTAATACGTGGCAATAGGATTCGCGCTATACATGCAGCGTAGACTTTCAAGGTTGAGGGTCAATAAGGGAAGGACATTAAAACTTGTTTTGGAGGCGGGGATATAAAACAATGGGATTGGCTTATTAGAGTGAACTGATTCAACCCTCGGTAACGGAAGCGACTGATTGATCTCTGCTGTTCCTGCAGGTAACAAGAGAATCGTGTCGTCGCTTGTCAGCTGCCGAGGGATGTCTCGTAGTTCTACTTGCAATTTCATTTGCCAAATTTTTATAGAAACTGTAAAATTCTCGATTTTCGCGAGCGAATATATTTACCGTAGTTATTCACTCGTATGTCTTCTTCGATTATTTGATGCAAGCATCTGCATTCTTTTTCGCATAGAAAGCACAGGCGAAGATCAAAGGATTCATTGAGCACGGGTTACCCGTTGCTGGATTTCAGCTCTCGGTCTGTTTCCGGAACATCTTGCGATCCAAATTGCGCCAATCGTGAGCGCCAGTGTTCGGGGAACAGTGTGTACGACGTCAACGTCTCTGGTCTCCGTCCGGGTTGTCCCTCTTTAGCCGACCCCTCTGACAGACGGGTACTGGAAATCAGAATCCCTCTTGGCGAAGATGGTGTCCTTGGATCAGAGCTACCCGCAGAAATTGAAGTTTCTACTTCTGCCGGAAATGCCAATCGCATTGTCGGTTCTAGGTTGGGTGAGTATTCTGCTTATCGACGACGAACTTATCGTTGAAGGAAGACGGGCGCGTTCAATAGCTCGACAAATATTCATCTTGCGTGTGGGTCACAATTCGTGTGACATTCCGTAACATAGCGTTTAACATGCGAATCGAGAACGCCGGGGATAGTAGAACGGAGCCAGTTCTATTCATAACTTTGCAGTCATCAATTTCGGATTTAATCTCGAAATGGGGTGATACGTGGTATGCCTAGTATTGTTTGAGTTTTGTGAAATCTGTAGATCAATATCCCGGGGAGCCGCTTGAAGTACTCGAATCTGCATGTGGCCTTTCCTCAACGAATCCCCGAATACCAGTCTATCACGAGTATAGTCCGTTGCGAGCGGATGTTTGCGCAGTGTATCCGGCGCGAATTCGTGATCAGCCTTTTGTGCCCGAAAAACGTGCCCCTGGTGGTGTGGAAAATGCTGGTGACAGACGTTCTAAAGATTCCAGTTTCTTCTCCACTTTTGAGTCGCACACTTTGGGTTACTCTCCTGCCCGCACGACAGTTTCAAATAAGATTCCTGGTCACTCCCGTGGAATCGGTGGCGTTGATTTTCCGAAGGGAAAGTGGGATGTGATGGGTAAAAGGTCTCGCGATCCTCATGGGAGTTCCGAGACCGTCGCAGACGGTTTGCTTACGGAATCTTCGTTCAGATGTAAGTCTTATAGTCCTTGTTACATCGCCTGACCGTAAAATTGAACGCTTCCCAGGAAATCTGTATTACAAAAGTGTGCGTTGAAAACACTTCTTCATAGTCAAAGAAATATGCAGCTTACCGTACTTGGGTTTGGTTGGCTATCTTAGATACTTTTGCCATTAAGGTATCCGTATAAATGAAATGACGAAAAAGAAATTAATTTTGGCTCATCTTCATGAATGATAGCTGATTCTTTGTGATCGTGCTCGAGTCTTCCATTATTTTTACTGTGATCTTATTTCATGTAGAATCGGACCTCTCTTATCAAAATTTGAAGGTATTAATAAAAATTTGACTTCGAGTTTTGTAGTTAAGGGAAACTAGGGTCGATGATGATCGGGACTACTGAAAAATTTGAGTCAAAAAGGTTCGAGTTGAGAGAGATATGAAGAATGTATTTCGTGGACGTCCGTCATTCTGGGACTTGCACTGTTTCTCAACACTCCGTTGATCCAACTATTTCTTTCAAGTTGATAATGCGGGATTCAATTGCCCCAACCCAAGTTACGCGCCGAAACAGAAAAGGTCTAGGACCCTGAGTGACGAGGACTTTAAAACGTCTTTGACATGGAAGAACTTTTCCGCGGAATCGAACAACCTTGTGGCGTCAAGGAATGCTGGCAAGCGTAAGAGAGATGAAACCAAACCAGCCGTAGACGACCTCAGAAAATTCACCATCAGTGACAAAAGCAAGGAGAAATATGCTGGCGGTGATAAACCGAAAAAAGTGCATAGCACGCCGTGGGAAACCAAAAAGAGTGAGCTCATATTTTCATTTCGCTCTTGAAATAGCGAATTTTGTGAAATGATGTGCAGTTTCGAACCCTCGTCAAAATTTACTTACCGCACTTACATTTACTTTTCTTTTTGTACAGGTAGAGAATGTACGGTTGTTCCTGGGAGCAGACATTCCGCATGTTCTCCAATTTTTGCGAGTTCTCATTCCCTCAGTGGCCGAGAAAGTCGACCTCATTCTCCTTTTTCCTTCTCAACGTTCCGCTTCCACCACGGTGCACAGATACGCCCTCAAATCACGGAATTGGACGGAAGTAAGTTAATTGAGGAATCGTCAGTCTATCGGTCACGATTATCTCTCACATCCTTTTATGCAAAAACTGTTATAGAGAACTGCCAGCCGCAAAAATCGTAATGTTGAAGAAATGGTAACTATTCTCAGAAAAAATTGTTCCTTCTTTTGAAAGAAATGCTGTCGTATTTTTTCCCATGGCAGGAGTGGTATTTACTGCTCAACTGTTGTTGCTACTTAATTATTCAAGCTTGTGTGGAAGCATTTTAAGACAATTGAGTTGTCAGTGCAAAACACATACTGTATTTACAAAGCTTGAAAAATTTTTTTTTCGTGAGATTCAAATATGAAACATTTTCGTATGGGCAACGATTTGCGAAGGCCATGGAGCGGAGACTACAGTATTGTAATTGCTTCCTTGTGAACGCCCGATAAATACGAAGGAAAGGTTAAATTGAAAAAGAGGGAGAAAAGGAAGGTATTTAATTTTTGGAAATTGTAAAGTTGCAGGATATACTTATATTGGGAAATGTGTAAGCGGGAGAGTCTCACGTAAGGTTCCTGCTATTCAGCGTGTAATCGAACTTCAAAGGAATATAATCTGAACTCGAATTATGGGCGGGATTAATTTTTGAAATGGTTAGTGGGGTACAGTATTTGCCAATTGGTATTATCCCGTACTTTTTTTTGTAGAACGGAGCTTGTATCTTGATCGCCAAGCGTCGCTCCTCTCCGTCGCCCGAAAACGCTGTTCAAGCATACCACCGGCACCGCGACCATCTCCCGTTTTGGTAGCCTGTGTTGAAGCTCACGCCCAAACGTCGATTGAGATCGTTCTGAAGCCAGTGGAAGAGGTTCCGAAAGAAAAGCGAGACGCCGGAGACCCGCAGTCGCATGACTCCGGCGTGGGTGCTTGTGACAAAACTGCCGCCAGTTCGTTGGTTGAGAAAAGCAGAGAATTAGCCGCTACTGACTGTGGATCATCGTTGCTTGATCTGCTAATGCTTGTGATTCTCGAACGGCTTCGGGGAAAAGAAAAATCGTTGGTCTTACCGTCATTGTCAGTTAGAGCGCCGAGGAAGGTGATCGAAACTTCGAGCTTGACTTGACGAGGAAAATGAGCTGTTCGTGCAGATTTTTTGTGCATTTCTAGATGAAAAATAGGCGGGAGAGACGCGTGCGGAAGCATGATTTTATCGCACACCGGCTTGAAACTGCCAGCCGCACGAACCTGACCAGAACATTATCTGGGGATGACAATACTGAATCTACTTCAGCTGGTGCTCCCAAGGAAACTACGAAATGCGAGTCGATTGAATCCGAAAATTCTGAGGATAAACAAGTTGTTAGAACTCTTGAGAGACGAAGTTGCGAAGCGTGTGAGCGTATGCGTCTCTCGTGGAGCGATCCCGCCGTATTGTCCAAAACGTTCAATCTCAAGTCGAAAGCTTTTCGGGGTAAACGACGTGACATGCATCCTGCCCAACCGCCTGAGCCTTTTTATTCCGACAACGACGGACATCTGCCGGAAACACGCGACAATATGGCCCTTAGAAGTGAGATACAGTACAATCATTAAAGTATCATTTTCATGTAACAACCCGCGCCTGATTAAATCAGTGAAATTCGCCTAAGAGAGGAAAAAAAAGCTACTCATAAGAACGAGAGTTTTTTGTGCCACTCGAAGACGTAATGTGTGCACGTATTACTTTACCTACCGAATGCTTTATAGAACATACTGCTGTTTAACTGCTATACCAGTCTGAGTCGTAAGTTTCATGATGATCAGGGCCTTCAAGGAAATACTACACATTATAGTACAAAGCACGTTTTGCTACGTCTTCACGTTTGAGAGTCACCGATAAACTTGATGTTGAGGACCAATTCATGCGCACCGTTGATGAGAAGATCAGAAAGTTTGTGCCGAACTCTTGTCATGATTCGGTTATTTCCATTACACAGATATTTGTTATATTTTCTTCTTTAATTTTAGTCCATGGTTCCTCATCGTCGAGGGAATTCGACGAAAAATGTCAAAAAATCCTTCAAGAACTCGGGGAGGCATTGTCGTTTCATCACGCCAGGAGGCAGATCAGTTCACGGCCGATCAGTCGCCCAAGCCTGAAATCCAGTATTATCTCACTCCCCGCTAACTCCCGAGAAAAGCCGTCTTCGGTAATGAGAATGAGCGTTCATACTTTTATTACAAGTCTGAAGCCATGTCCTTACCCTTCCAGAAACAGACTTGGAACCGAGTTCGATTCAGTGATCCCATTGATCGAGTGGAATATTTTGGCACACCCACAGTCCGACTCCGTTTTGATGGAACTAGAAGGAAGAAACACTCCCCGTCCAGTGTGCTGAAGTCTACTATCTTGGACAATTTAATGATCGCGAAGAAACTTACTTGTTTGCTTAGAGAGACCCATGCGAGAGCCGCTCATGGGCATCGTGGAATGACTGACGCTTCTCCATCACCAACAACCGTAAGTGAGATGGCGTTTGAATCTACAAAGAACTATGCTTGGAATGTAAAATTTCGCGAGGATCCTCATTCGCAGGAACCTTCCGACGTGAAGGATTCTATTGGGAGAAACACTTCTCCAGTAATTACAGAAGCCGCTGCTGACGAAGCTGTAGATCAGCTAACGTCCACGTCTAAATGCTCCTCTGCTGGAACTCCTTTTCATCCTTCTGATTGTGATGACATGCGGTTCATCAGTCCTGCAAGAGCGCTGGATGAACGTTCTTCTTCCGGTTTGTGTATTATGCTTTGAACGATTTTATAGAACGTGCCGTTTTAACCAAAGACATAGGGTTTATTCTTGTTGAGATCGTTATAGAAATCTAAGTCGGGATTTTTATTTAGTTTTAATTGGAGATTGCAGTTTTTATGATAGCCATTATGCGACTAGGAAAAGCGTCACACACTAATTGACCTAAAATTTCTGAATCATGGAGTACATTATTGAAAGTACTTGTCTGACGTTCAGTACATACCTACGCACTCATACGTTTTTCCCTTCTTCGGATCGCTATGAGTTTTCGAAGATTTTGTTATTGTTGCAAGATATGCATTTTGAGGGATATCAAAGAACACTGGACAATATGAATACTGTACATTATATTGGGCGAAAATGAGAGCTAATAAACGAATGCCCACCTCCTTGTATTCAAATCTCGGATGATCAGTAACAGTGACGCTACAACAGAAAGAATTTCGAAAATCAGCATTCAAATTCTGCGCGAAAATCCGTCTGAAAGAAAAAATTCGCCGAGATTCTGCAAAGCGTATTTCCATTGTTAGTAACTCATGCTACAGAGATTCTAGTTTTCAACCAGGAATACACGTGAATGGCACGGTTAGTCAGACATCGTGGTTCATATTTCCAGATAAGGTTCTATTTTAGGTACCACTACCGATTCAATGAAGGTTCAAAAGCGGGATAAGTGAGGCTGTCCCAGAGTATGTAAAGTATTCCTTTATTCTTTCATTAACAGCATGTGTGACGAGTTTGAAGGATTTATCTTTCGCCGTGTTACCAACGGAAAAACAAACTCGAGAAGAAACTTCGCATGAACACAGAAGAAATTATGCAAGCTCCGTGAGTAATTTTCTTAGATGTTCGAAAAAAAATTTTGACAGGGTAGTCGGAGCTTGATGTGTGCTCCTATTTTTGGAATGCTTATAGAATGATTCTCTCATGTACATTCAACCTGCGTCGGCCGTCAAAGTTCACACGTTAACTTATTTCACTCGAAGCGCTCCCCCGGTTTCCGCTGCTATGCAAACCACCATTAGCAACAAGTAAGCCTCATCTTCCACGACTTTTTTCTTATCATTGCATATTCATGCGTTTATAGATCCTCGGTTAAATTTTTCAAACGACCCGACGAATGCAGTGAAGACGAAGTTGATGACCTACATTCGACTGTAGCGCTTTCCGAAGCGTCTGATTTCAACTGTCGGCATGCTCCGGAGCCAAGTCCGTCGTACTTCTCCGAATTTATCAGTAAAGATGTATCATCAGCCGGTGTAAGTCAGAGGCTATCGATTCACGATGAAGTATTCGATGACTTTGACGAAATAACTGACGGCGAGTTGAGTTTTGATGCTGAAAATACGGCGTATTGTACCCGCGAAGTTCCTATGACTGCTCTCGTGTCGAACCCTTTTGAAGCAGTTCCAGGAAATGAGGCCGTCAGGACGGGTAAGTGTTCCTCGCTCCCCTCAAACATCCTTCGCCGAATACGGTTAACACGAAAAATTCTTACGATTGTCAAATTGGTCCTCGTAAAACGCGGCTTTTTTAGCACTTCGATTTTAAATTATGCTGCATATCTTATTTTATGGTAGGCCTAATATTTTTATAGTGGAACTGTAACCGTTTTAGGTTTCTCAAGGAATTCCTTTGGGCTGAAAAGCAATTTATCAAATATCGAAATATTTTGTCTGTTATCTGATTACAATTCTTGTTCCTACAATAAAAGATATGAGAACCTTTTATCAAATACTACTTGTTTTATTTTTCCTCGGCATGATTTTAAAACGCAAGTTCGAAAGAAATTCATGTTTCTCGTGCTTGTTTTTTTCTTACATCGTACAGTACTTCACGTTGAAGTGAGTAGATGACGCTAAGGTTTAATTTCGGAAATATTTTATTGAAAAAAAAAATACTGTAGCTGTTGACTTGTTGTAGTCATTACCGTCGTTTGTTCGTCCTCTTTTCTGGGGGCTTGCATTTAAGTATGTCATGTTCATCGTCTTCTTCGAAAGGAAACTATGCAGGTACTTCTGACGAAGCCTCTGCGCTATGCTCCGCACATCTCGAAGTGGATTCTGCAAAATCCATGGAAAACTCGTCCTTTGAAGTGAGTATTCAATAGTTATTTTATTATCCAGAATCTCATCGGCGTTTTTTCTCAACTATTTTTCCCCCTTCCAGAAAGAAGCTCAGGAAAATTCGACTGAAAGCCTTGTGTCAGCTGACCTAATGTCAGTTGACCCCGGTGTGTTCATCTCTGACGTGTGCAGCGCCGGTTCTACTGGGAGTTCGTCATCTTCAAACGTTGGCAGTTCTATCATCAAGGAAATCCTGGCCGAGCATCGACGTGAAACGTTGTCCCAAGATTTAAACATTGAAATACATGAGGATTTCAGCTCTTCAAAATTTGCTGACATGAACCCCGAAGGAAAATATTTCCCAGTCGACGTGTTGAAGAATAATAAATCTTCGAACGGGTGTGCTGAGCAATTAGCCGAGCCTGAGGATGAAACTCGTTGGTATTATCTGGAAATCTTGCAAATATCGAATCAAAGTTTAAATTCAATTGCGAGCTTCAACAGGATTTGCAAGCAAAATGAATGTGTTGATAATTATCTAGCGCTTGATAAAATTCCCAAGCCCATTAACTGGAATATCAGAATGCATTTAATTGCACCTCTTGCAAACCAGGTGATATTTTCAAATTAAATGTGTGTTGATTTCTTCACAAACCTTGAGGCTTTTTTTCGCTGCCTGTGCCTGTAGTCTATCCTTACTTTCCTCCCGCAGGTCATCAACTTTGTGTTGCCCGTGAATCGACTACAAAGGAAGAAGCTCACGTAGTTCCAGTACAAAAGATGCAAAGCTTCAAAGTGGCTCGGGGTTCTGGTCGTAATTTTCGAGCCTCTGCGAATGAAACCCAAGTTCGAGACTTCGAGCGACCGCGGAATGCGTCCTCAATTGCTTTGGCGTCCCCTGGAGACAGTCACGTGTGTGAGGTGAACTCGTCAGCGGAAAACTCGAAGACTAGACTGGATGCAGCAACACTATCATTTGATGAAATCTGTGCTGAAGGTGAACCAAATGTGGAAGACGTCGGAGTCGCTGATGAGAAGCGTAGCGAGGATCTCACTGGAAATTTTGTCAGCTTTTCCCAAGAAGAATTGCAATCTTCGAGTTGCAATGAGGATCGAGTGGAAATGGCCACAAGATTCTTCGAATCCCAGCTTTCCGAGGTACTACTGTATATTTATTTTGTTTTGCTCATGAAGTATCCAACAAATGTTTGCTTCTCGTTTTTTTTCAACGAATTGAATCTAGGAGGATTACGACGCATTTAGCGAAGCTGCGAGTAAGTTGAAGTTGCGCAAGAATTTCATTTCGGAGACGAATGCGATCGTTGCCCGGAGGCGAACCCTTCCCGCCATATTGGACACCATGCTCGCCAGGAAGTATCTTGTAGAACCTGGATTTCGGACGCAGTCTCGACGGCGCCCACCTGTTGAGACAAAACCTGTTGGAAGAAGTGATCTAGTTGCGACAAGGAGTGAGCCACTCAAAGACATGAAGCGGCATTGTGGAACAGCGGCCAACGTCACAAAAAGCGCACCGTTTGGTGGGTGAGTTCATAGATTGACATGTCTTAGCGAGGAGAGGCCCCGTGATATTTGACATCGATGCGAAAGTTTACCGGTGCTTATCAAAAGAGAAATCACTAGAGGGAGAGTTCACATTATTCTGATCAGAACCGGTGACAAACTCTGAAGAAGCTGATGAGACTAGGAAAAATTCAATCTTAATTTCTTACAAGGAATCCTTAAATCTTTTTTTTTTTATGGTGTGGCAGAGTTTCTCGATTTTTAGCATTTCAAATGAACAGTATTTTATTTATGGATTCAAGTCCAGTAGACGGGGGATTGTCTCGCGGTGCCATATACCGGAAATGTTTCCTTTCTTTCCCAAAGTGCCAAAAAAGAAGCTCTTGCTTAGATGATGCCAGTATTTTTTTTCCTTTTCTTCCCTTGGTAAACATGTCAGAATGTGTTCTAAAATTAGAACTTCTTGAAATACGATTTTGTGGGTTTGAAAACTCAAAACTGTAACTTTCCATCAGCCTTAATTTTACTAAAATTTCCCTAATATTTCTGCATTTCGCGTGGATATTCCTTATGGAGAAAACAGTATCGAGATTTACACTTCATTATCTCATCAAATCCAAGGTATCAACGAACTCTTGTTGGTGTGGCAGTGAGGGAATGCATTCTGTACTTGCTTATTTGTGCACTTGCTCTTGATGAGATGTAACTAAAGGCTGCATGATTTTCAAGTGATGCAGTTGATGAAAGGATCAACTCTCTTCGTACAGTACTCTTAGCTATTGAAACGAGTGCTGGGCTATCATATATTACTCTCACTTATCACGTTCTTCGTAGCGCTCCGGTAACCGTAGGCGCTAAACATGCCAACGAAACTCCAAAAGCCTGCCTGAAATCGGTTTTGAGGAGAGTGATAGAAGCTATTGAGGACCAAAATGCGTCTTGTCCAATCGTTAAAACGGAAGGCTGTATTCGAGCGGATTTATCTGTTGACGATCTTCCAAAAACCTGTCCTATCTCCAAACATCATCGGCTTGCAGTCCATTCCGAAACGAGGTTGTTTGAAAGTGCGGCTGGAGCTAACGAAACTGGTATGTTCGATTCGATTGAAGAGTTCCGTGTGTTTAATTATCCATAAAATTAACGCTTTGAGTCACTGTTGAAGAAGAAATAATTATTTTTTGAACGCTTGCTTTGTTTCTAGTCCATGACCTGGATTCATCAAGCGCGGGTGGTGGTGCTGGTAATGATTCAGAATTGGAAAATGATCATTTTGATGACCAACGAAATTTTGGCGACGATGTTGCGCACTGGGCAATTATATCCCCTCCGAAAGGAACCGGAACCATGAGTAGCGCTGTTTCCGAAGAGACTCCCGCTATTCCATCGGACGATGATTTGAAGCATGATTTCAACGATTTCACTCACATCGGGCGTCATTCCTCGGGTTTATCGGATGATCGACAGCCTGAAATTTTGTGAGTATTACTGCATTAGGCTCGAAGTGAAGGAGCTGTAATTCACGGTTTTGGCGTAGTTTTGGCGCGTACTTTCCGGTGGTCAACCCAAGCTGTATCCCTGCATTTCCAATCGCGAAGAACGGAAGTGGAATCTCTGATTGCACGTCTGTCGGATCACTGAAGAAAAAATCGTAAGCTCCCATTGGTCTGAAAATAAATAAGTAGCGCAATCCATGTGCTGAAACTTCCAGGTATCAATTACACTAACTGTCAAATGATTCTGTAGGGAATGCATAAGATTATCGTGCTTGCTTATGTTATCGTGATAAATACAGTACAGTAGTTTTGTGCGATGAGAAATTTCCGTGTGACGACTCAGTGAGTTAATGAGCTTTATGTAATCGACTGTGAGATTTATCATAAGGTTTTCGAAAAGTAACTGCGAGAAGAAAACTTTTCGTATGCACGGAGAACAAAGCTAACATACATTGTAAGAGAAGCAGCGATATATTTTATGTCAAACTCTTCTGTTCAATCTTTTGTGAAACCTTTCTTGCGCGCAGTAACTTTTCGGACTGCTGATATTTTTGTAGTTGACCGGAAGAGCGCAAACCGTGTGAAAATCAAGTATCGGAATGAAACTGATGCCTTTTCTCCAACAGGTCGGAATCTTTCCACTCGCCGAAATCTCAACCGTTCGTGGACGATGCGTACGTTCAAAAGATGGCTGACGATCCAAGTTTGGTGCCGATTCTCCCGCGATGCGATCCAGTGCTTGGGCGATACAGCAGTTCTTCAACGGAAAATGCTGATGCTTCTTTGAACAAACTTCTCGAAGATCGGCACAATCGACGCTTGGAACGGCGATATCGTCAAGCAAAAAGTAAGATGATTTTTTCCATCTAATTTTTTTGAAGTTCTCAGTTTTTATGGGGGCAACAAAAGTTGTCAAGTCTAAGGGAAAAATGGAATATGTGATCGAGATTGAGCTGGCTTGCGTATGCGAAGAATTTAATTTGACTTCTTGGAAGAAGTTGCGGTTTTCAAAAGTTTTCTACCGTTTTCCCTAGAAATTAGGACAGGTCTTGAACAAAATTTTTCTCCGTGGAAACAATGCACTAGGCTGATTTTCTGGGCATTTAAATGTCATAGTTTTAAGAAGAAGAAAAAATGAGTTCATATCCTCAAACCTGTCTTTCTCATGACCAGAAGTGAGAGAACGTGGAATAAAAAGCTCGTCTCGCTTGTGCTCAACTGACATCTCGATTCACACGTCTTACTTCGATGAGGATAAAATTTGATTATGATTATTCTGTATTAGATGCTTTCCGGGAAAAACTTAAGATGTTCTTTGAAACGTGTTATGCGATTCTTGTCAGTACTGTATATACAGTATTAAGATGATGAATGCTCTCCTGCAGAATCGAAAGTGGTGGATGGTTCCGACTCTCAGTGTGAAACATACCCGAAGGGCAATATTATGACACTCGGCAACGACGAAGACCCAAGCCAAGCCTCTTACGCCCTTGATTTGCCCTCTTGCGAGCAAGAGAAATCTGTCTCTGACAACCGTCGTCTTTTGGAAAATTCTGTCTTATCAAAATCGAAAGTGAAATCTATGATGAAAACTGTGGCGCCGGAAGTTGTAAAGCAAATTCCCTGGGTTTCTTCATCGACGTCATCTCGTCCCGCTACTCGGGAACGCAGCCACAACACGGAGACATCCGCATCTTCCCGCGACCGCTCTGTTTTAATCAAAGCTTGGATGAAGGACCTTTTGAGAAAGGGCCTTCGCATCCGCCGAAGAAATAAGGCAGATCCACGACACGAAGGTGGAAGTGACGCGTTGCTGGCGGCAACGAGAAAAAGCGCCATATTTTCCGCCTGGACTGCAGCTTTGTTGGAGACTTCGCAAGTGCTGAAGGAAGCGTATCCCACAGATAGCTCGGAGACAGTTTTTGGAGAAGATGATATTCTGAATGTTTTAGCGGATTCCTTGCGCCAACTGACATCGTTTGGGTCTGAATGGGATTCTAGTGGAAGTGACGGAATCGCGAGTTGTGCTTCAGCTTTAGCCATAATTGAAGAAGCGAAGCAAAATTTGAACGTTGTGCAAAGATCCTTACTAAAGATCAACTCGGCTATTTCCCTGAAATCAAGATGTTCTTCGACATCTTCGTTGATGAGTCGAAATGATCATAGTCACAGTTTTACTTTCCATCCGAACGCGGGGAGTGAAATTGATCTGAGCGAAGTCGAGCTGGATTTCTTCGAATTCGATGCGTTCGACGATGGTATTGGCTCGATGGAGGAAATAACTTTGAATGCTCAGCATTTGAGTAACTTGTCTGATGTCCCAGTTCTAGCCGTGGATAACTTGCGAGACCACGGAAAGGGAGTTGAGCTTTTGATGGAAAATTAGGTCCTTCTTGGCTTCGTGATGTCTCTGTTATTCAGATTTGTCATACACGCGAAAGATTTTTGTGTTTAAATGTGTTGACATTTCATTGTCTGTTCAAAAGTTCCTCGTTCACGCAATACAAGGTGATGGCGCGCTGTGTTTACTGCAAAATTTCAGAAGATTTCAAGCAGATATTTGTGTCTTGAATAAAATTGTCTTCCTCCAAAAAAATTTTCGGCGTCTGGGTGATGGAGGCCATTCGTGTCTTCCTCGAAAAAAAAACATTACCTTTAAAAAAACATTAAAAAACATTTGAAAATAAAATAAGCGTGCAGGAAAATCGATTGAATTTTCACCCAGACGAAAATTCCATATTTTTTCCAGTTCAACCTAAGTTTTGAACATTCCTATGTATTTGAAGATGTGTTCCCTTTTATACTGTACCTCCCTTATGTAAAAAATTCCATTGCAATACCTTTATTACTCCCCGAGTATACGGTATGTGACGTAGTGCGAGGATTTCGTCTATTAGGATGAACGTGGAGATTTGTTCCTCTGAATGAAATGGATTTATTAGTTGGTGTGTGAACGTAGTTCCGAGTTGGGGTAGATCCTTAGTCTGATCGAAGCATCCTGCCACCAATGCCTTTTCTTCAGGCTTATTTTCGCGCGAGCGATGCAGTCGTTTCCCGGGAAAATGGCTGGCAATGCGTCTCGCATCGAAAGCGAATTATGGAGTTTGCGGAACGCGAACGAATTGACGGATATGGACATTGCAGTCGCGAAGGGCACTTTTTTCTCGGTACATTCTTTGATAATGTGCGCGAGAAGCAAGTTTTTTCGGGCATTGGCGTCGAAGTGCACCAATCGTCGGATAGTTTTCGTCCTGGACTGCAGTGAAGAATCTGTATATGGGTTGATCAAGTTCATGTACACTGGCGAAGTGGAAGTGGAGCCCACATTCTTGGACGAGTTTTTGACTCTCGCCCGGAAGTTGGAGGTTTCCGGCCTTGTCTCTGAATCAGAGGTAAGGTTTACCTAACACTATATGATTCTTGCATTTTATTGATTCAACTTGGCACTATTCCTTCGTTCGGGCATTCGGGATGTAACGCAATAGCATTGGGTAATAATTTCGTTCACGAATGCTGTGAAGGACGATAAATTCTAGCATTGATTTCTGAGGTAGAATGTGTAAAGTTAACCATCAATTCGAAAATGACTATGCACGTTTTCATTGAAAAATGAAGAGAACTTCGAACCTTTTCATTTGATTCTCTTTGAGATGCATTCATCTTTAGCATAATGTGCGCGACAATTCGCCAAAATTTCAAGTATTTGTGAGAATTACAGGGACATGTATGGCACAGTAATAGAAAAATTCGTAACGTAGGAAGGTGTAACACTTCGCTATTCGAAAAACAAAAATGGTTTGGCACCTTGGTATGGAAATGAACAGTTATTCCTTTCAGGGACTATTGAGCTTGAGGAAATGTATGACTCGTCTATCTATCGTTTTTCACATGAGTGATGAATGATTCACTCCAAGCTTTTCCGTGACGAGCCAAAAATTGTTCCTTCTGAGATGCCGAATGCCAGAGATGACACGTTTTTTTTAAATTCTCGTCCAACCTTGATTTTGCCCGAAGTTATTAATTATCGGTTCGTGACTCCTTAAGATATTCCCCATTTCGTATTGAAGTACTGTACTTCATCGTATCAGCACTTGATCCAATCTTCCTCTAATAGTACAGTATTTTTGTATATTTCAATCGATGAAATGCTTCGATCAAAAGAAATTCGAGTTGGATTCTTTTACCATCAGAATTAAAACAATTTCTTGTTCGTCCAGATGACTCCTGTTGTTGACATCAAGCCGTCGGTTAAGTCTTACGAAGTCTCTTCACATGGAATGCAGACCAGGAAACGATCCGCGATTTTCGCGACAGAAACGTCTGTCAGTTCTGCGAAGTACTCGGTTAGTGCGACGAGAGTCATTTCATGCATATGTTCGCTTTCAACATCGTGCCGTTCCTTTTTTACCAGTCTAAAACAAGTTTCTGTATTCTTCTGTAGCAGAGGAAGTATCCGTTGACGACAGCGGGTATTAGCGCTGATCTACGGAGCCCTTCGAATTCATTCGTCTCGGAGCAGGTGAACAGCATCGTTGAACAAAAGTTCAATCCGATAAATGCACCCCTGAGCCAGGATTCGTATCCTGGGAAGTGGCTCCGCGATTCCTCAAACGGTCTTGAAATCAGCAACTTGCAAACGGGGACTGTTAGATCTCCGAATTTGATGGGCCCATCTGGTCGGAAAAAGCGGACTAGGCACATAGGAAAAATTCCTAAATCCGTAATCATTGAGTTTGTTCAGTATCTTGTTGACAACTACGACGAATGCAAGGCCATTTTGGATGCTCACCCGCGTTACCTCTCGGGATTTCAAGAGATCATCAAGCAAATGAGGTATGCATCTCCAGAGCTGAGGAAAACACTCCCACTCGTTCGGGCTCATAACTTCATGGGTCGTTTGGGGACTCAGTACAGGAAGATCGTGCGAGGCTTGCAGAGTGGCGAATCGCCTGAAAATGATGCTGCTCAGCCTTTGCTCGAGTAAGTCTAGGATTATATTCTTGCGAATGTTTTTTTTTTCACTACGTGAAGCGATATAATAGTCATTAAAACTCGTGTTACTGCTACCGGGTGTTCAATTAAGAGTTCTGAACAGTTTTAAATTCCTCTTCCAAGACTTCGGCTTAGGTTGCAATTAATTCCCGTTGAGGTGATGAGAAACGTCTCCTTTCTTCCGAAAGAGAAGATAACAATAAAAAGTGGGCGACATTATTTCAAATTTTACGTTTCTGAATCTGTAATTCGAGACCGTGAAGCAATTGGTGACCAACTGAGGAAACGTTCGTATCCTCGGACTCCTTTTTTTGAGAAACAAGAAATTGGATCTGGATGTTGAAGTAAAGTTTTATTCCGAACAGCGGACGAAATTTTGTTGAATCTGTTTTTGGGAGTGACCAGGAAATTTCATTATTTTTTATGAGTTTCCTTGATATATTTTTGGTTTGTTGATAGGTTATGACTTTCATCTGAGGTTATTTCAGGTTCAGATGGGTTTGGCTAGTTGAAGTCAGTTATTCGATTGATGTTTCCGAGAGTCAAGATGCCGTATAAGCTAGTGAGAAACGAATATTTTTTAGCAATATCCGTTGTCGAGTTTGAAAAGTCATGATTACTTCGATAAGGTTGTGATTTGATTCTGTTTTTTCAGTGGCAGCCGAGAACTATTTGATGTTTGGGCAGAATATGACCGTATGTACAACTGCAACCCGGACGCGATGGAGGTTGAAGACTCGTCCGCTTGGCATTACGATTCTGTAGATCCTAGTCTAGAGCCAGTAGAAGATTTCCAAGCATATCCGGACGAAAATGTGACATTTGAAGACCAAGAAGATGGAGATGCGGAATACTATCCAGAAGAGCATGACCCTGTGGAGGAAGTTTCCGGTAATGAACCAACTGACGTTAAAGCGGTTAACATGTTCTTGAATGCCATCAATCAAGAGCAACGAAGTGTGTATCCCAGCGAAAGCCTCACTTCACAACTGAGAAAGAAACGGACGAGAAAGATCGGCAAAGTCCCGAAACCGGTGATCGAGGAATTTGTTCAGTATCTCGTTGACAATCACAGAGAATGTCATGAAATTTTACGAAGATCATTGAGGTCAAAGGACGGCTATGAAGAAATTGTGCGTGAGATGAAATCCGCGTCGTCAGAATTGCGTTGTACTCTTGGAATGGTTTCGGTACTGAGCGTACTGAAACGTGTCAGAGGCGAATATCGCCGCATCCTCGCCGACCCAAGTTTTGGGAAATCAGATGTTGGTCCTCCAACGCTTGAGTAAGTTTTACTAGTTGAGTTATAAAACAATATTTATGCGATAATCACGTGGGTAAAACTACCATAATCTCGAAATGATGGCTCATTTAATTTGGAGGAAAACCTTTTTCTCGTTTTCTGATCTGGTCAACTTCACTCTTGTGTTTTCAATGGACTTCCTAATAATTCCAGTTGCATTTTCATTCTCTAAATTCTGAGATTCATTTTGGAATATTATTTGGATTTTGAAGTATTGTATTCGCAAACCCGAAGACCTTCTTGAGTTAATTCGCGAACCCTGAGAAGTGCAAACCTTGCTGCTGGGTAGCTCTCTTCGTTTTAGAGATTTAGACGCTAAGGATCCGCATTCAGCTGTCTTTTTCCCTGCTAATTCGAGAACATACGGTTGTGTATGGGATCATATCGAACCTGAAATGTTACGTCATCGTAGGATTTTGTAACCATAGCCTAGGTTTATGAAAGAACCCATGTGCATTCACGTGATTTCAAATTTCAGCACTTGATGACATCTTTGAAATCTCCTGCATAACTTGAATTGTTACGTGAGCGGTTTGTTTTCTTTTTGTCCAGAGGGAGCGCTCGTTTATTCAGGCTTTGGGGCGACTACGAGGAGTTGTACAAGTCTTTCTGGTCTGACCGATCCGATGACTCAAGTGCTCTTTCATTCTGCGAACCGTCTTTTGTTGGCGAAGCGGGAGATTCGAATGACGATTATGCAGAAAACGACGCCGAGAACAGTATTCTAGGTGACGAGGATCCCTAAACAACACTTCTATGTATTTTCCCTCAAAATTTGAAGTTGAAGGTATTTTCGGAGTCTGTGCGCTCTGATTCTAATTATTTTCCTTGTGATAAATCCTGTCGTTGAAAGCGTATCCCGGTTTGGGTACCTCATGATGAATAGACGCATTAACATGGAATATATGTTCAGAAATTTCTAATTTTAAAAGCCATTCGGCAAGTCCTCATTCCTTCTAGTGTCTTCGGTTTCGATCATCGCGAGAAATTTATGGACGTGTTTTTGTATTGTGAGTGCATTTAGAGGTTGGAGGCTAGCATTGTGATGGAATTCTGTTGAGAAAATTATTTGCTGACGCGTTCGTATTTTGCCCGTGGTGCACATTAAACTAATTCGAACGTGTCGGTGATTGTGAATGAATTTATGCAGCTGCAAGCGTTCTTTTTTCGCGATGAATCGGAACTACGTACAGCGTTTATGTACAGCATTAATCCGGTGGTGCTGCTTTGAATGACCCGTAGTTGTGTAAGCTTTCTGCGGCGCAATCGAATGACGAAGGTTGTGTATTGGAATGTTTCTAGGAAATTTCAGCGTCGATGCCTGGAGGGGTTTTCTCCGCGTTCTTTGTGTTTGTGGGCGACGTAACATTTCGTCTTGGATAAGAGTAAAACTTCATTTTTTATTCCAGTTTTGGTTATTAATCCGTGATGTCCTTGAAATGCTTTATGATCTGTTGTCAGTTGCAAGTTCACAGCTGAATTTTAATTGAGTGTGTTTTGTTTCATGAGTACTATAGACACACATAATCTTCACACATACTCCGTATGTGTGAAGATTGATGTAGACGGTATCTTTTTGATGATTTAGTCTATGGTATGGTTTCCGCATCAAAGGAGCTGTGTACAAAGAAAATTACATCAGTCTACTAATCGCCATTAGTGTCAATCGAATACGATTATTTAAAATCAAAGCAAGTTGTGGTGAATCGATCCGAAGCCGTTCCGCTTTTTCAGTTCTACTTCTGAAGAAGGAAGTTTTTTAAATCTATTAGAAAGTGCAATACTTCCATCAGCTGAGTACCTATACGTATTTTTTCTGATACTGTACTGTATATGCTTGATGAACATAAATATATTTACTGTATTGGTCTTGTTAAGGCCGGTTCAGGTGGACCCTCTCTTCAGCGATAGTATCCACAGAAGTATTACGCAAAAAAATTCAAATCTTGGCTGACCAAGATTTGAATTATTAGATATTCACATTATTAAGTAAAATATCAAGGTGTATACATGCAGTAGTACTGCATATGAAGCTCTGCAGCATCAGCTCCCATATAGCTGTTGGGCATAAAACTGCAATATATGAAATTCTTTTTGTGAAATAATTGATCATTGATTGTGTTGCACTTTAAACTATAGATTGCATTGTTGCATGGGAGAAAGTGTCCTACAAGATGTCAGCAGGCAAGTTATTGGATGGTATAGGAGTATATTACAGTACTGTACTCAAATTACCCATGCCTGGACTACCTAAATACAGTATAGGTGTTCCTCCCAACTATAATGTGCCATTATATAACTATAGATACGTGTCTCAGACCATAATTTTCAACAGCTGTGAGACTAGCTCTACTCTTCTCTTCATCATTATTTTTTATTTATTTAATGAACTGTTCAATCTTATTTTTCATAATTCCTTGAGATCTTACTTTAATTGACTCCATGATGCTTATTATTTGATTCATTACGTTGTTAGATACAGTTCTTCAAATTTCCAGAACCTTATTCGAGAAGAGTTGGGTCAGTGTTTTATATACCGCCGTTCACTAATTGTGACGCATAATTTTGTACTGTACTGTACAGTGGCAAAGTATATATGTATATTGCCTTTATTGCTGAACACATCTTATTTATCCCTTACAGTAAATCACTACAATACACACAAGCTGAGAATAACTGAAACATGCCTACAGTAATGCAGCTATAGCCCCATTAAATCTGGGTGAGATAAATTGAATTATTACTGTACAGAATATACACCTCATTGTGACAGGGTGCTGCTTCTTAAGTTTTTGCCTTTGCACAGGCTGGCAACTCTTCATACCACTTTGAAACATTTAAATATCCCACACATTTCCTATTCAGCACGACATATAAAGGCTGCATTGCGTTATTTGTTCAGGCCTCATAAAAATTATGTCCTGTGTATCTGACTGCTTCACTTTCCTTTGCATCAGATTACTACACGTTCAGGAATGTCTCAGGGCATTCAGGATTGGGTGAATTGAAATACGGATTCGTTGTGTCTGGTATCCGAAGAGATAGTTCAATCACTTCATTCTGTTGCAGGAGCAAAAAAAACAAAGTTCAAAATTTCATATACAGTACAGCAGAATACAGTAGATGAATAATAAGAGGTTCTTGCACCCTCACAGTCTAGTTACTTTCAGCTTTCTTTGTTAGATGGAGGGGAGGACGGAGGAGTGCTCCTCGGGCTAAATTTCATGGCTGTCCCCATATGACCGGACAAGCATGGTCCATGTTATCAAAGTTGAAATCAACGGAGCGTATTTCCTTGTTAACGACGCGGATTGAACTCGACTATCTGTGAGGAAACGTATTCCTGCTCATGAAATTAATTGAGGATCGCTGAAGAAGAATTCGAAGTGTCTCGCGGCGATTTAATGATACAGTACTGCGATTTGCAGTGCGGTGTACGGTATTATGCTGCAGTATCTCCTAATCGTGTAATCTGTAATACATGCAGTTCATGTGCGCGCATTGCTGTGTTTGAGTTAATTGAGTGTCGTTAACCGATGAAGAATAAGCGAGAGTATCATTGAATTTTTGGGTGGGATGCAGTTTTTTGATGACCTGTATTCAATGAATGTATTCGAGGATTCAAACTCACCGGGCTGTTCCATGGAATCCAGTGATTGATTGGGCATGAAAGGCAATTATCGGATGAAGCTATTCACATGGTCATCTTCGTTATCTTGGCATTTTGAATCGACTTTGTGCTCGTTGAAATGAACTTCCCAGTTTTGCGATTCCCACATCCGATAGATTGTCCGATTAATTCATTATTTTCGTCAGATTAGTGTTAAACTTACACCTACCTAAAATGTCGTGTTGAAAAGTTAAATCTGCGATCAGGGCTACTTTTTGAGTTGTGCAACTGTCTGCGTAGTGAACTGAACTTCGATCACCACCAGTTCACCCGAAATTCACATTTCAGCCGACGGGTTTGTGTTCCTTAATGTTGATTCCGCATGTCAGTTTCTCGGTCGATGTTCACTCGATACCTGAATCGTGTATAATTTGTCTTGTGTTCGTGGTTGGAGTGGATGAACGGGTAGTTTCATTTAATATCGTGTTGCCTTAGCTGGGCTATGTTTCGTGCGTGTTGAACTTCGATCTTGAATTCCCGAAAAGCAATAAAGAGTGCGGTGGTATTGAGCGGTTCATGGATATCATATGTGTCGATGAGACATGTAATGCGAACGAATTTATTTCAGGAATGAGGCGATCGTGGAAGAGGTCCTTCCATGAATCACGGTAGTGTGAGTTTTGTGTCTGCTGGTGGTGCCGGCAGCCAAGATGATCTCTGCATTGTGTGTGGCGCTGTGGCAACCCAGGACTGCTCCGAAAAATCGCATGCTACCTCATCATTGTTACCAGCGTCGAAAAGAAGTTTATCTGACAAAATTGGCGAAATCCTAGCAGAAGACGACGTCCATGTCGATCTTTTTGCGGAAGCTTTGTTGTGTGGAAAATGCTACGACCTAGTAACGCAGGTTGACACATTAGAGTCTATGGTACAAAATGCAAAATCAGAACTGCGCGAGCTGCATTCAAACAAAGCTCAGAACGCCTCAACTTACACGTCAATGGCTGCCGTTTATGAACCGGGTGTGCTCGATTATCATCGGAATAAAGTCGCGAAATCGGAAGATCTCTCGTCGTCGAACGATAATCGAGCCTTCACGGCCGAGCAACTCGGTGGTAATCTGCGAGTCATCAGCGGAAATTTCATAGCTGTCAATGGCCTCGGACAATTTTCTAACGTCTCGGACAACACTCATCAGTTCGTGATTAACGACCAGGGAATTCAGATCCCTGTTGCTTCCGTCGGAACTGGAACCCGGAGTGGAGATCAACCATGCTTTCAACTTCCTCGCCAAGCTAGTGTATTTCGTCCGTCATCCATTTCTTCGCCGGGTCCGTCTTCTGCTAACAGTCAAATTAAGAGCTCAAGTCCGCATGGATCCGCTTCAGAGTATTCCGTCGTTCCGAAGGTTGAAAATTCGGACTCCGATTTGAGCAATTTTAGTGCACAGCAGAAAGTTACTATTGTGCGACACGTTCCAGGCAGCGACGCTGAGTATCCTTCGCCTAGCAAAACAGCTAAAAAAGAGGTGAGCGTGATTTTGGAAGTGTTGACTCTTCGTTTTATGCATGCGAGGTGCCGAGTACAGTATTTGCTCTGAGGGAAATTTAATCAACCACCCGTATTGAAATGCTGATGAGTTGAAGTTTCACGAGCGATATTTTCAAAAAACTCCAGATAATCTAGCAGATTCTTTGCACATCTGTCTGCGAACGTTGACTGTAGATGATTTCTAGTGACATGAAATCTATTCTGTGTAGACTGCAGTAATTGTACATGGCATTACGTGCTCTGAAGTGAAAGAGATGAACTACGTGTACATTTACACGGTGCAGTACTGTTCGTTTGTAAGTGTCGTGATTCTTCGAAGTTCAGTACTGTATACGGAATTCATGGGTAATCTACATGCATAAAACAGGCATGCGTGAAGTTATTTCTGCAAAGGAATTCAGAATTTAGTTTCGAGCTGAACTAGGAATGGATTAAATCTCGTCGACCGCGGAGAAAATTGATTTCATTTAGAATTAATTCGAGCATTGCGTTCGAAGAATATTCTGGACGTCGTGATTCATCATTTAAAACTGAAGAATATTCTGGTCGTCGTGCTTCATCATTTAAAACTGACGGAAATTAAAAAAATTCCTGAAAATTTGTTCATGCTCAACGGAACGCAGCATTAAAGAGAAAGCTGCGAGGCTTGTTTGCACCAGTCATTTGACATTCCGGCTAAAATTTCGGGATAATTATCTGATTAATCTCCTGATCAAGTTTGATCGTATATGTGTCGCTTGGTCACGTTCAGTTAAATTGGTGATGTTTACTTGGGCTCAAGAGTCATGATCTTAAGCCCAAGTAAACATCACTAATTTAACTCGATGCTTCTGGTACAGTGTCTGGACCGAGAACGTAAAATGAAAGCGCAAATTTCAGTGATACGCTGCTTTTGTTTACGAATCACAATATTGTGGGAACATAAAACCGACGATCACGAAGAGGCGCAAATGAGCTTCATCTGTGATAAAAGTGTGCTTTCAGTTTCCTAAGATATCCTTTTGTTGAATGTCTGGAGTGGTCTGTTTGATATCTTTCTTTTACTCGCCTGAGTTTTAACGTTTTAGTTTATTCAAGGTCCACGCTTGAATTTCCTTCAATATTTCTTCAGCAGCGTGATTGAGGTTTCAGAATCCACCTGCGCTGCACATTAAACAAATGGTTACAGTCCGTTGAAGCTTGTTTGCTTTGCAGCATTGTATTGTTGCATTTTCCGATCCCCAGGCCCACGTTGATCCCAAGCGGGGAGTCGTGAGAGGAGCCAGTCGGGGAGGAAGAAGCTCTCAGCCGGCGGAAGGCCGAAGTGCCCGGTACCCTTGCGAGATCTGCACTCAACCCTTTAAAACGAAGCAGGGCCTGTCGTTGCATCGCTGGCGACTCCACCGAGTGCGAGACAAGCTGCTCAAACTGTTTCCCTGCACGCTGTGCGGGAAGGACTTCAACGCGTTGAGTAAGCTCAGGGACCACAAGTTGATCCACACTGGCGAGAAACCGCACGGATGCCCGTATTGCGGATATCGCTGCGCGTTGTTCGGCAACCTGAATCATCACATTAGGAAAGTGCACAAGTCTAAGCCACTGGTGGTTTCCCAGGCTGCCGCGGCTGGTGATAGTACAAGCCGCTTGTCCGCCGATTCTCCGTCGCTGAGGGCGGGTGATAGAGTTGTGATCGAGCAGCCGTTGCGATCCCCGGCGAGGGTTATTGTGGTCAATTCTCTGGCGGCGGCCGCGAGTTTCGCCAACAACGCCCAGGTGAGTCGTCTTTGATTCCGTGGACAGCAATGTGCGTCTGCAATCGGGCAGTGAAGAATCATATCGCATCTTTTTTCCAAGAGGGCGAGATGAAAAACACAAGAAGATTGGCTCATTATTTGAAGTGCAGTCGTTTCTCTTCAAGTCTTACTTCAAGGGGCCAACAAAAACAAAAAAAAAGATTTTGCGAGAATTCGAGTTTTGAAAAAAAAAAAAGCATTTTTGTTGTAGGAGCGAGGCATGCAATTTTAATTGGTGATATTCTGTGCTGTTAATTAATTCTCAAATGAGTTGACAGGATGCTGAACTGGAGGCAAGGGTTTATTTTCCGAATTAGTCTTTCATTTCCTCTCAGAACACATCAAGTTGAATTTTAATCTCTTCTCTCTTTCCTGTGTCAATAAAATGATAACCAAAAGGCTTCCAAAAATTAAAGTTATGTAGGCTTGCAGGGGGAAAACCTTGACAGGGAAGGTTTTTAATGCATTTTTTCTTAGATAATTCAGACAGGGACTTGAAAAAGTTAGAAATAGGGAGGTATCTAACGACAAAGCGAGGTTCGAGTTATTGAGGTTCAAATTTATTACAGCATGAAGGCATTCTTGATTTCTCCCCTGTTACCTTGGCAAAGGGGTGGCCTGCATTTGCGTATATTCGGCCAAGTACTTCGCAGTGGAAAAGGTTCCAGTAAAAAATTTCAAATATCGCGAACAGTATTGTAGTTTTTCTCGCTGAGCTGTAGGTGCATGATTTCCGTGCTCCTCAGCAAGAGATGTAGAAAAGTAGAACGGGTTTTTACCTCTGTTAAACCTTCAAGTGAACCTTTTCCGATGAGCATTAATTGTTGGAAATGAAATACTTTAATGTGTCTCCATTGAACGGGGTTTTGTTTAGATAGCTGGATAGGAATGAGAAAGTCTATTATCTTGAATGCGACACAAAGATGAGGCGCTCTAAAGAAAACAAGCGAATGTGTTCATAACATACTGTAGTTGAATGCTATATGATAGGGTAATAATTAACTCCACTGAAGAGTTTGTCACAAAATTCAGCTTACCGAAGTCTGGGTCAGCTGCGCTGATAAAAAAAATGTAGAAATTGTCATTTCGTAAATCTTAAATTTGATCTACGAAATGAACAGTAAGCAGCAGTTCATTCCCTGGACCAAGATGCATGCCAGGGTATAACAACTTGAGGCCCCAAGGCAAAATTTTACAATATTTATGTTGCTCTTGATCAAACTATATCTTGTCTGAATAAGCTTGATCGGTGTTGAATCCATTTTTTTAATTAATCTTTACCGAACTTGAAGTGTCCTATTATACAGTATTACTGATGTCTAAAGTTTAATCTTGCTACCAGTTGAACGTCTTCGTAATTCTGAGCTCAGATCACCACACAGCGCCTCAACTTTGTCATTATTCTTTAGAGCAGAAATGAACTTGCAATGTGATGGATTTAAATCAAGCTTTTTCTTGTTAGGTTACCTGAAGATTGGGTTGCTATAGAATAGACGTACTTAAGTTGTTATACGTGGAGTCTGAAAAGTTGATTTTCAGTGGGTTGCATGCTTGCATTTAATGCTCATGAGCACATGAGCGGAAACCAGAAGCAGAGAACGTGGTGTCCAGACTGTCAGTGACATCTACCTACGCTGATAATAAATGTGATTCTTATGGACGAAATAGGGAACATTTGTCTTCAGTACTGCTTTAGAAATTCATCACGGCACAGTAATTTTTGGGCACGCTGCATTAACGGATCTGCGTTGAAATTCAAAGTCCGTTACTTCTCTGTTCAGCGTGAACACCCAAGTTAACCGGTGCTGATATAATTTAACACGATGATGATGATTCCCCGCTACGTACATTTAAAATTCCAAGTTCAGCTCTCCAAGTTCTATTACAATAAGCTGAAAGTGAATTCTTCACATGTTCTTCCCGTAGCATAAATTAGAAGATAGAACTAAAAAAATACTCGCTTTGAGGAATTTTCGCGTCCAGATTTTCTCTGAGATTCGCTTTGAAGAATATTTCGTCCAGATTTTCTCCTGAGATCTTTCAGAGATTTTTGTCGTATTGGATTTCAACATTTACTCAACTCATTGGCGTTTTTGAACTGATACGTCGGAAGAATGCGAACTTGATATTCATATTAATGATGGGTATCACCTTTTTTTCTGTTACATTCACCGCATGATTTTCTAATTTATTCAAATGTTTTGAATGTACAGTATTTGAGAGATCATCTTTTTGCGAATCGTTACAGGTAAAAAGTGAAATGTCTCATGAGGCGTCCAGTCCTGAAACGGAGATGGAACCTGAGCTCCTGGACAACAATGCCGATGTTTAACGTATTAGTGGAGAAAATCACATACTAGACGGAAGTGTCAATTTTCTGTAAGTTCCAAAAAATTGTTACCTCGATTCGCTTTGATGTTGGACTTCAGTTGCAATGATCGGGTAACATTTAAAATCATCTGAAGTATAATGAGTCGCTAGATGAAGCTGGTGGAAGGGCTTATAATGTTTCGTTATGATCACGTCTTGTGGGTGATAACTTTTTGATGGGACAATTATGTTTTCGTTAAGGCTTCGTTTAGATTGTGAAATAGCTTGACATTTCTTTCGCAGGAGAAGCTTCTAGTTGACGAGTTTGACTTCAGAAGATCGCGTGTGTCGTTGCAGTTTTCAGAATCGTTTTGAAGTTTTGTGGGAAATTTTTATTTACGGGGCTGGAATCTTCCGACTATCCAAGGGGGAAAAGCATTCTGGAGCGCAATCCGAGTTATTCCTTGGGTTTCTCTCCCGAGGCGGGTACTAATAAAAGTGGCATATGGAAGTGATACTCTTTATGTCTCTGAAAGCCTTTTTGCGGTTCACTCCATTTGGCCGATTGCCTCTTCGACAAGTGATATTTTTAATTCAATGCATTTTTCCAAATTGAGTTTTTTTGAAGCATTCTAATTCCTTTTTTTATTTTATGTCTGTTCTGTTTCGTGATTTGCATCATTATTCCCACACAATATGGATTTATCTGTTCTGCGACATTAAAACAAAAGGCAGCTGGTTGATGAAGTGAGAGAAACGTTCGTCCGTCGTGATTAGCTGGAACAATTAATGCATATTTACGTGATCACTTTTCAGGCTCGTGTGTGCAGTTCTTTTAAGGCTCGCGCGTGAGTCTTCATTCCTCCTGTTTGACTTTACCTAAGGACTCGTGAGTTGTTTGTCTCCTCAAAACATTTGAGTTGTGTTCGAATCGGCTCGTTTCGTTTTTCGATCGTCCCGTGATGGTGACTGCATGTAACAAAACGTTATTGAGTTGACAGCATAACTGGGACGGCTTAGCGCAGATGGAAATGGAAGACAGCTCTTCCTCATGGAAGTAAGTTCATGAAGTGGTGGAACAATATTTTGGTGCAGGAGCCTATTTTTTTTGCTCCGGTTTTTGTGTGCGTGGAATGGTTGTTCTTTTTGTTCCTGAGCGGAGATGATGGGGCATTTTCTCATCTTCACGGTTATACGATGTGTTGTGAGATCCCGGTGTTCTTTTTGCTCTGATCAGTCTAATGCACTGCGTTTACGCCTCCGGGATTTATTTTTCGTTATGTAGATGTCGCTTGAATTTAGTGAAGCTTTGTAAGCCTGGTCAAATGAGATTAGTTTTATTTATGTAAATTTCGTTAATCATGTTTATTTGTTTAGCAATTCAAACGAAAATTCGAACAAATTGTGTCTACCGTATTTAATCAAGTTCCACGCGCACCTTTTTTCTCGAAATTGAAAGGAAAAGAATGGATGTTCTCTACGTAACAGTTCTTCAAGTTGTAAACGTTTACGTGTGCATTATATTTGATTCTAATGGGCAATTTTGGACCAATTTTAACGAAACAACTTGTTGCGAGAGGAATACTGTAGTAGGATATCAGTGGAACCCAGCGGCAATTCATGTCTGAACTCAAATTTGGGTTTTCATTTTTTTCGAATATTGCATTTGTAGACTAACTGAAAGTGGGGTGCGCGTCTTACGAGGGGATACAATTTTATAAAAATGTTGACTAAAAAACCCTGTCGCGTGTCTTACTCAAGGGCGCATGGTATCGAGTAAATGCGGGTAGTAAGATCGGTTTCTTATAACCGAGACTGAAATTTGCACAAAAGAGATTTCGGAGTACTTCGAGAATATCTAACGTGGAATTGAAAGGAGATTTTGAGAGACTGGAAAATGATTCTATGAGTAGATTCACGGAAAATTCCTAGGCGTTCGATTGCTTTGGCGTTTTTTTTTGTTTGTTTGTTTGTGACTGTGCTTGCTTTTCCGCAATCTTTCGCTTCATTGTCTCATTATTTCCGCTCTAATTATTTGAATCCAGCACGCGGCCAGTGGAGGATGGCAATTGCTTCGTGTGCGGACTGGGGCTTTCGATGCTGTCGCCAGGGTTCCAGTCGTCTACAGTGATGATGGACGCCTCTCGGGTAATGCTAGACGAGCGTCTCGGTGATATCATCGGAGTCGGGTCCCCGGAACAGCTGCAAATGAGCAAAACACTCACTTGCGTGCGCTGTGTCTCGCTCATCATGCGAGTGGACTTCTTGGAGGTTGAGTTGCCAAAAACTAAGGCCCACGTGCGGTATTTATTTTCCAAGAATCCTCTGAGACTTGCCGAGCAGCTCACTGGGAATTCAGGTGAGTTCTTTAACCCTGTAGCCGGCTTTACTAAAGTTGTTCCACGAGAGAGTGAGAAAGAGCGATTACACCAGAAAGCGAGTACTCCTGTGACCAGCTTTTTTTTTATACCTGCTCATTTGTACACTTGCGCTTTTATGTACTTGTCCTTTTGTGTCATTTGTCTGCGGTGGACGTGCAACAGGTTGACTTTCTCGGCAACGATTTTGTCCAAAACGATATTCTCTTTACTGTATAACGATTTTTTACGGTCCCGTAAGGTTCTCTCCCCGTGTTACAGTATTAGGGTTCTCTTACGATGAAATTCTTTCCACGACGATTTTTCCCTGGTCCATTGTATTTCTGAGTAAAGTGAATTCAACTGTATCGGGGTTTTCTACGACGTGATTCTCTCTTACAAAAAACGTATTTCTTGTCCATTGAATTTCATTCTGGAAAGAGTCAACCTCTATTTGCTGTACTCGCTCTCTTGTCCACTTGCTTTTCTTGTGTGCACCAAACTGTGAGAGTCGAATTCTTGCTTTCTCATGGCAGACCGCGAAATTAATTTTTTGCGAATTGCGACTTTCGTGACAGCCATGGCGAAATCCTTCTTTCCGCCGAAACTTGCTAATTAATGTAATTAACATTTAAAAAATCTGGTTTTCGTGTCTCGGGTTCCTCCTAGTTTTTCTCTTCTAAGTGTTAATCTTTGCTGCGAAAATATTGAATTTTATTTGTAGGGTCGAAACCGTCGCCATCGTCTCGTCGGCCGCAGATTCCATCATCATATCCATCTGGATTAATAAGCGCCTTGACTAAGCCGTTGCAAACTTCCTCCGCAAATGCATTGTCGAACAGTGGGATTTCGAGTCGTTACGCTGATCATTCTCCGCCTGAGTCTCCTGGCTCGAGGAATGAAAGAGGCCCTGATGCAGAAGATGATGTGGACGACGAGGAAGACGGAGAAAGAAAGCGGAAAAGACCGTTACCAGCGATGAGGCCTATCGAAGACAGCAAACCCAATGTCAACGGGATCGGAAGATCTGTTAGTGGTGGAGACGACGACGATGCCGATGAAATGCCGAAGAAGTGAGTGACGTCAGTAGAGATTAAATCATTGTGAGCGCATTTTATGAGCAGCTTGCGCATTTAGTCACGTTTTGAGTTGGATCGAAGGGCCATTGTAATGCGGTTACAATGGCAACTCGTTTAATGGACTGGATTCGTGAAATGGGAAGTACAATGAGACCCCCACATGCGGACACCTCAACTTGGGGACATTTCAACTTGGGGAAATTTATTTTATAATGAAAAATCACAAAAAGGCCCAACATATGTACACCGACTTGACATGAGAATGTTGCATTATAAAATTGCCAATACACTTTAGGAAAATTGACTTTTATTAAGCTTAATGGCAAGAAACAGATATTTCCAACCCTAAGATCTATGCAAGAAAAATTCTTTGGTACTTTTCCCACCACTTTCCCATCCATTCAGCTAATTAAAAAAAATTACCTATAGCACAGAGGGACTGCCTTCTCTCTTTGTGACTTGAATGTTATTTTTACACATGCCAATATTTCAATGAACTGTACAGCAGTATACTATTCAATGCTCCAAATGTTCCTATTGGGTTGAAAATATATTCCCTGAATTAAATTCAAGTGGCAAAAAAATTTTTTCATGAAATTCTGAAGAATATTTCTTCCATAAAACACCAATTAAAAATTACATAATGTAAGTCTATGGGAAAACAAGACTTGTCTTTGGGACGATTCAACTTAAGGACACTCTTGATGCACCAATTATGTCTGCATCTGGGGGTCTTGCTGTGGATTGTTAGAAGTCTATGAACTGAGGACTGCCTTCTTTGTAAGAAGTACAGTTGAACCTTGGTTTCCTTAAGTCAAATACCTCCCCATGTTGAATTTTTTTTAAATTCCCTGTCTAAATTCCCTTTGAAACAATGCACTAAAACCTTCATAGCTGGAAGGCTATTTTTTTTATGGGGAAGAGAAAAGCAATAAGAATGTAACTTTACCTGTTTTGAAAGGAAGTGAAGGACTACAGTAATTGGGCAAATGAACCCTTGCCCCAGAGTTTAGCATCCGGTCAACTGACGGAAGAAGGAATACCACCTATTACAATTGTATGGTGTAAGTCTTCTTTATTTCCCCTCAACAAAAATGCCTGTTTTCCAAACTCTGGACCTCCCTAACTCGACTTTTTTGGCTGGTCCCTTACAGTTTAAGTTGAAGAGGTTCTAGTGCACAATACACAATGATCAGCTCCAGGCCTCTGGAATGTCCTTCAACGAACTAATGCAAACAGTCTAATTACTCTAAAATGTCCCTTCTACAATTATTGTACTTGAATTATTCACCCAATAAATATACAGTATATAAAAATTTATTTCAAGTATGTAACAAAACATGCTGAAAAAATGAATACAGTACATAATTTTGGCATCAGTAATATGACTGCACTGCTCTACAGTTTTTTCCCGCTTGGAAAATGACGCTACATTTCTTTCAGTAACTTCGAGTTTATTTTTCATCTTTTGGGAAGGAAAATCACTTTCTATGAATGAGGGTTCATTATAGACCGAAAAAATCGGTGAAAACCCAGTCGATAAGGCAAATCATTTATTGTCCGAGGTACGACTGTTATTCTGTTGAAATTTTCGAAATCTTGATTGGGTTTTGATAGCGATTCCAGTAGACTCCATTAAAGTAATTTTAACATTGTTTATTTTACAAATTTTAATCTTAATTTTTATTTTAAAAATTTTGCACGTGGTACTCCCGGGTTTTTGAGCCCTATTTTGAAGTTCGAACGGCAAATATACCTTAATATAAATCTAAACCGATGTCCAGCAAGAGAGCGTCTCTTAAGTCTGCGCTGCTCGTATGCGAGAAAGATCGCCGTTTCATAATATTTATGACGCCCTTCTTATTATTCGAAACTTTTGAAACCTTCCCACTATTCGCAACCTTTTTGGCTCGGACCGGTAGTGTAAAAACAGGGCGTTTGAAAAGTAATTCAAGATAAGAACATAAATGTGTACCTCAATTAAAGCACCGAATGGGTTTCAGTGGCAAGTCCAGAACCCGATGAACTTAGTCAGCGCCCGATGATTTACACGAAGAAAATCGAGGAGAAATTCTATGGAACTCTTATTACGCTTCGTGCTTGATTTTGTCACGCAACCACGTTTTCTTTTCTAATTTTTCGGCATGAGGTGCACGTGGTACTCGAGTAATATAAAAGCTATTGCGAAACCGAATCTAGCCGCAATTCGTGCTTTCGACGCAGTCGATATTAACTTTGCATGACTCGACTGTTCGTTGAGAAGGTTGACGAAATTATTTTAAATTTTTTGTCCGTGCAAGGCGAGGGCGTGTGAGTTTCTGTTTTGAAGATCGAAACAAATCTTACTGTCAGTAATTTACTGACTAATTCAAGGTGGAGACGAAAATACCGTCATTGATTGAAATGAGAAAAACGCCGTTTTGGAGAGAATGATGTCATGAGAAATATAAGATGGTATAAGATGTTTAAAATCTCCCGGTCTTGCTCTGAAATGTACAGTATTCAAATTCGAATATATCTCCAGAAGTTCTTTTTTCAATTTCTTCAACATTTCAACGCACGATAAAGTTGAACCTCGATAACTCGAACCTCCGTAAGTAGAATACCTCACGAAGTCGAATTTTTTTTCATGTCTCCATCTGAATTCTATTGGAAACAATCCATTAAAAACCTTGCCAACTCGAACGCTTTTCCTCTCAAACCTCCCTAACTCAAATTTTCTGAGACCTTTTGGCTGTTATTTTCTTGACGCAAGGGAGAGAAAAGCAATACAAAATTACCTTGATTTGTTTTGAAAGGAAGTGAAAGACTAATTGAGCAAATACAGTACAGTATATGAATCCTTGCACCCAAGTTCAGCATCCTGTCAACTCTTATACGAGGGTTATCAGCCCTGTTTGACAAATTTTTTTGAATTTTTTTTTTTGCGGAATCACCTTGGATGACCTGGAGGCAACCCTTAGAAAGAATGCCAAGTTGATTTCAAAAATTCTGAGGGGAAAGCTGGGCNCAAAAAGCCTGAGGGGAAAGCTGGGCTACAAAAAAAAAAGGCGCCTCATTTTTTGAGTGGAGAGCAAAACTCTGCCACGGTGAATTATGAAAAAAATTAAAAAAAATTTGTCGAACAGGGCTGATATTTTTTCATGTGCCAAAGAATATGTTTTCCCTAAATAAAAAATTTGTTTCAGGTCAACTGTAAGCCATTTTCATTGCTACTCCGAGAACTTTTGTTAGAACCCTCGTAAGAAGCAATTCAAGGCCCAGAAGATTACAGTTTGCATAATTTCCTGCAATTCTTCTATGTTTCCCACGACAAAAATGCTTGTTTCCCTAGCTCGAATTGTTTTCTGGTCCCTCGAAAATTCGCGTTGGAGAGGTTTGACTATTGTATTTTGTTCTTTTCCTCTTTGTGAGCATACTTATGGCTTTCTCCAAAATATTTTCTTGTAACCATTTTTACTGTACAGCAACTCTTTCTTCGATCGTATTTTATTGGATAAGTCTTGAGATCATTTGCCCCAGTAATGCAGTATTAGTGAGTCCTTATCGAGTATATATGGCCCCTCTATTAGTCTATTGTACCGCATGAGAAAGTAAAACAATTCTGCCTGCGGCTGTAAGACAACATTTTTCATCTCTGTAATGTACATTCAAATTCAGAATCGGTGGAGTTATCAGATACTGTATTACTTGTGCTGCTCATACCAGCCGAATAATCTCGAAACAAATGCAAAATTAATCATAATTTCATTTCATCTGTTGTCTGCGGGAATTCGACGCTTTTTTTTTAAATCGTGTTGATCGTGAAGAATCATGCGCACACTACCTGCGAATTTATGGTGCGATTGAATACGTGGGGTCGTTAGACCAACGTTCACATCGTTTCATAAGTACTTCGTGTGTGCACATTTTTTTCGTGAGTACAGTACAGCGTTTGGTTTTCGATGGAGAAAGATCTGCGCCGCAGTTCGAATTCTGTTTATCTTCAACTGTACTAACGATGTACATGTACAGTACTGTACAGTATATTTTTGTATACACCGTCATTAATCAAACGATAAATTAACAAGCAGATTTTATTCTGATTGTCGGAAACAAAATGCGACTACGAATTTCGTTTGAGAAACCCCGATTTTTTTCGGTCAATGTTTGCAAAAGGATAAGGGGCTTCTGATATTACCCGTATTCTCTCGACTACCTCGCGCCCTCAACGAAGACGCACACTTGGGTTTCTGTTTCTGAAATTTTGATGAAATCCTCGCCTCGAATATGACGCGCACCCCGTGTTCAGTGACTAAAACAGGGAAACTTTATTGAAATTACAATGCATCGGGAACAAAATTTTGACTTGAATTGAGCCCAAATTTCATTGATTTTTCATGGTTTCTAAACTTTCTATATGAAACGTTTTTTTTGTGTGAAATTTTCTGTAAGGATCAAGTATTATGAGCACCTAAACTTGCAACATTTTTGAAGAATTGTATACCCACTTATGACACGCACCTTTTTTCCCCGCTTGATTTTGAAAAATAAAAGTGCGCCTGGTACTCGAGTAAACGCGGTATTAAGAATTGATTCAATGATGATGATGCATTTCAAGGGTACTTTCCTGTTATCTCAGTACCTCATTCCTAGACTGCACTACCATCCAGACAAATCTTTAGGACGAGTTCATAATCACAACAACCTACCAGAAACTGTGAATTTTATTTTTCCGCATTCTGCTGAATCACCTCCCAAAATCAGTTTCAGCAGAAACCCGAAGAAAGCAGAAACTGATTTTGGGAGGTGGTTAGGTGAAGTTAGGTTAGGTCAGGTTAAATTGGTCAGAGGGAAGATACAGAGATAACAGGAAAGTAGGCACTGAGATAATAGGAAATTACCTTTCTTCCTTTTATTTTTTTCCCCGCCAGAGTGATGCGTCACGACGTTCGTGGAAACGGCGCGTCGAGTCCGGCGCCGTCGAAGACGAGCAGCGTGGCGGAAAGCGACCAGGACGCGCACTATTCCATGTCAGGCGACGAGGCCGAGCGCCTGACGCGGCGCCTCATGTCCGGAGACCTGAACGCGTTTGGGCCGCACGGGGAATTCGCCGGCCTTGAATCGGCCATCGCGGAGCGACTCAAGGCAAACGACGAGGCGGTCAAGTTGGGCAACGCGTTGGACGCCTCCGGAGCGAGTAACATTCTCAACAGCTTGTCGAGTCTTTCCAGCCTCGTGGGCGCCGACCCGAGTGCGATGGGGCTGGGCATGCGCGGATTTGCCGGTCGGAATCCCTTGTTGGCCAGGGTGAGTGATTGCTATTTTTATTTGAGTTTATTTTATTTTTTTTGCAAAGATGTTGTTGTGCTGTTAATTTTTTTTGAATTTTTTTTTAAATTTGTGTGCTGGTTTTGAAACCGTTTTCATTTTTTTGTGCTTGGTCGAGGGTAAGACTCCCCCCCCCCTCTTCCTTAATTCCTGAGAACATGATGGTTTTGTCCAGCATGATGGCCACCACAGTTTCCCTGGATTGGAAGCTAGCTTCAAAACCGGTTGTGTCGCACTGCACGGGTTTGAATATTAGTTTTCAATCATATTTCGTACGTGTCGAGGGTTTATTTGAGCGTGTTAGCTCATAACTTCAACTGTTCATGGATTTGAAGTTGGCTTTCAAGCTCGGTACCTGCACAATGTAACATGAATTATTCTGCGGTTTTAAGATTTTAACGAGCTTCGTGTCCCGCACCCCCTTTCTTCGAACATGGTCCGTATTAGTCTGGTGTTCGCATTTTACCAAGTTTGGAAGGTACAGTAGCTTTGACATTGGTCGTGTTGTTGTGGAATGGGAGCATGATGCTTGCGTTTCTATTGGATTGAAGCTTTGCTTCAGAATCGACGATGATTCTCGTGCTGCAAAAAAAGTTCATTTGCGTTTATCTTCGTTCTTCTTGGATTCTAAGGCTAAGACTCTCTTGGATTCGTAAGTGGTTCTTGTTGCCTTTGAGGGGTTTACAATCGTTAATTTGAGATTTTTGGGGTTTTTTAAAGGGTGATTTCCGCCTGAAGTTTACAATATCCCTGATTCCCAGATTCAAAACTGTATTTACGCGAATATTCTGATTTTTTTGTTATTTTATTTCGAGATTTTCGACGACCTCCGGGATCCAATGGTATTCGGAAGCAGTGAGGAGAGTTTTTAAAATTTGGGGAAATACTGTACTTGTTTGAACCACTTAAAACGAGAGCATTTAATTTAGCTTCTGATAAGTGAAATTGGAACAGTTTTCTTCAATCTCCAACACATGTAAATTGGGGAAGTTGCCATGAATAGAAACGTAATTTCCCTCTTCTATGGGGAAAATTACCGCACAATCAACGACAATGAATGCCGTAAATGGTGGCAAAATCGCATGAAAGTAAGGGCAAATCTTCGCATTGCATTTTCAAGACGAAAAAAGCTTCTGATCGCATCGACGAAAAACGACCAAAAAGAAATTTCGTTCAGTCCTAAATTGCTAGAAGAATACTATGGCAATAAACCAACCCAGCGCATTTTCGTGTTTACTTTATCAACCATTGAACAAACTAGAATGATTTTCCAATGACCAAATGTCTTTTAAGAGTTGATGCATACAGAATCGGGACTGACAAAAAATTTAGATTTACCAGTCGAGCAAAAAAAAAAAGCAGCGAAGCATTTGTGAAAAGACTTTCTCGTTTTCCTCTAGGTGCTGAGTTTTCAAGCAGTTCGATGTGAATTTTTATCCAGATCACTGAATGTGCCCTGGAAACTGGAGCATTTTCTGAAAATATAGAATATTTGCTGTTGCATTGCAATTACTTAAGAGAATTTTAAACGCCGGAATTATGTAACATTGGGGTTGTATAATTTCATATCATTTCCAGCATGCGTTCTATAAAATTTCGTTGGAATTCGGTATAGTGATTCATTTTCAATGAGGGTGAATGAAGTTACTTTTGTGCGTGCAATGCGAATGGCCCTAAAGAGGAAGACGGAAGACGCCTGGAAAAATTCATTGATGGATTTCGGATGCCAAAAAGTTTTTATCTGAAAGGTTTTTTATATCAACTTGTCGACATGAGAAGCGCTTGTGGTTCTTATTATCGCCTTCTTTACCCCCCCCCCCTCCCCTTGGAAAAAAATGAATTATGAAGATTTCTGTCATTTTTCATGCTCTGAAACATTCAGTATGGATTCTGGTCAAGTCAGAACACTCAGAAGCATGCAGTGTGTTTAGAACCGTCCGCCCATTTCCCCCGAGGAACTTGATTGACAGCTTTCGTTGCGTGCAACGCTTATGTAACACAATTGTAAGGTTAGGTTCCCGATCGTCCTTGCCGTTTTTTTTAAAGACTGTATCCAACGCTATTTATAGATATTCACGGGAGATCCGTAAATTGTTATCCCTCAGATTATAAGGAGATCAATCCGTAAAACCTCTTCTACAGTATTTCGATCGGAATCTTTTGAAACGTTAGAGGGCTTTAGTGTCCGATCTGGGTCAACCTCGATTAAAGTTACTTTGTGCTGCGGTCAATGCTGCGTTCAGAATGCAGTACAGTTGAAAATGCGTTATCTGTGCTAATGATCTTTTCCCGGATGGAACACCATTTCGAACAGCAGAGCAAATATGGTGGAATCTCGTTGCAACGAATATCATTAGAATGAATGATCGCTTACGACGAAGTCGTTTTTTTTAGGTCCCTGCTTGACAGCCACAAAACAGTATCTTTACAGCGAATTTTTCGGTGTAACAAGCTGTTTTACTGATCTCAATGGCTTCGTCGTAAGGATTTCTTTTTCTGTAGTGCGTCGAAAATTTCAGAGAAAGTTGCCAAATATTCTTGAAATATTCTTTGGAATTGCCTACCGGAAAGCTGAAGTGAGTCTCGAAGGAACTCGATGCATTTAAAAAAAAGTATAATTTTTAATTTTAGAGGTCCGATTTACGCAACCAATGTCTTTTGAAAAATTCTTTCCGAAAATGTTAATTATTTTTCTTTGCTAACACATTCCCCACAAATTAGCCCAAGGAAGAGGAAAACGAACTATCCGAGATTAGATTGGGGCCAAACGTTCAATTTTTACCATATTTATTCTGCGGGACCCTATTTATACCGTAATTGGTCCGTCTTCCTCCGCTCAAATACTGTTGGTCACGAAATTGCAGGCTTGATCATTTTGGCGTTGCATAGTTTGTTGAACCACGGATATCAAGGGTGAACTGTACGGAACACTATAGCACTTCAATTACTGCAAGTCAAAAGATCGATGGAATTGGTGAGATTCGTCTGTTTTAAATTGACGGTGGAATCTAGACAATGTGAAAAGAATTTCGAGGTTCAATACAAGGTTCGAAAACCTTCCGTTTTCATTGAGCCTTTCTCTTCCGTTTATTGAGCTCCGGTGACAACATTTTTCTTCTCTGGAATTTGGATTATCGAAACTGGTTGCTGTTGGATTCGTCTGTCTCTATAGCTTGTGTTTTTTCGTTGACGTTTACTGTACACGCTTTCCGTGTCTCACGTTCTCTCTTTTTTTCCTTCTTTTTCGCCTTCAAGTGTCCTTAGTTTGCGGGGTCAAGAGCATGTTACTGTTTCGTCGATTGCGTATCGCTGCGCACGCGTGTTTTTTTTTGAAAGAGGTCGGGTTGGACAAAAAATTCGCTCTTGCTCTATTTTTAATTGCGAGCGTTCCCGAAAATAGAGGTGGACTCACTCCACAACGGAGTTCAAAGCACCAGAAAACAATTCGTTGTAGAGAATTTTGTTGTGGATGACCCCGTATAAAATATGAAACATATTACTGTATATAGGACCAAAAAAATAAAGATTCGTGAAACAGAGAAAATCGTTGTGGACAAGATCGTTGTAGAGAGTCCATCTGTATAAAAAATTATTCATGATATCATCTCGAATTATTTTCAAGGACAACTGTTCGTTGTTTTTAAATCCTAGCGCTGGGATGAGTTTCAATTGATTGATAGGTCATGGAACTGATGGAAGTAATAATTTTAGTGCAGTAGGAGAGATTTTTTAATAATCGATTTTTTGAGCATTTCCATTTAATGCATGATAGTTCGTGCACTTATTTCCGCACTTTTTTGTATGTTTTTAATTATGTTTACAACTTCACATGCTCTTTGAAATTCGATGAACTGACGCGATTGATTTTTTCCTGCTGTACTTGCTTATTAAAACACATTACTTCGTCTTCTTCATTCTTTCTTCTCAAATGCAGTGCAACTGTTGACGATCTTTTGACCACAGCGTTAAGTACCTCTTCTCTTATTAGCAAAAAAACTCGAGCTATGCAAGTTGGAGGATGAAAGCACTTCGTTTTTTTGTGTGTTTTTCTGAACTTTTTCTTAGCAGTCTCGAAGAATGTTGCGAAGATGCCTGAATTGTCCCCGGAGGTATCGTTGCTATTTTGCAGTCATTTGAGGCAGGAAGAATCCTGGTCTTGACGGTATTAATCGGAATTCCAGCTCGTTTGAACTGTCGTAGGTTTATTAATTTCAATGTCGAATTGGAATTCCTGAGCCATTTTTTAGAATATATCTTGAGAAAATGCTCGAGCGCGTTTTTGTAGAAGATGGTGCACTGTATACTGAAGGATTCTTGTTTTTTCGGAAAATTTGGAAAGTCTCGTACGTGCGACGAAACTTGACCTGTGAACACTCAAGATAGATCTAGACAATTTCACCCGTAACATTGAGCCCGATTTTCTGGATAAATTCTCTCCGAACCCCTGATGCACTTGTGAACGAAGAAAAAAATTAAAACTCTGTTCAACCCTGTTAAAATCACTTTCAAAGTGCTACGCATGACAAACTACAGTCATTCCCCTCGTAATCACGCCCTCGAGCAGTAGTAATCATCCGAGCGTTGACCTTCGATATATTTTCAACCGCAGGTTGTCGTGCTGAAAGTCTCCGAGGTCTGATACTGTAAAGCTTTGATAGAAACAAAAAGGAAGATATAAAACAGTCCATGTTTCTTCATCGAAAATGCATATTTGTAGTTTGAGCGGATGTAATTTTGTTGGACGCTGGAGGCCAAAGGATCATAATCCGAATACGTTCGATAGCTAGTCTACAATTGGTACAATATATACGAGTATATGTAGCTGTCGAAGTAATCAAATATTTGTATGCCTCTATGAGTTCTCTTTGAAACAATGAATTAAATTCCTCAGTAACTCGAAGGTTCCCCGCTCTTGAAACCTGTAACTTAAAAATTCTGAAGGCTTCTTGTTATTAGTTTGACACAGGAAAGAGAAAATAAATTGAAATGTAATTTGATGAGTTTTGAAAAGAAGTGTAGAACTATTTGAGCATACGAGGGTTCTAACAAAAGTTCTCGGAATGAAAATGAAAATGGCGTCTAATCGAGCTGAAAAAAATTATTCTTTAGGGCAAACATATTCTTCGGCACAAAAAAAAATCAGCCCTGTTTGACAATATTTTTTAATGTTTTGCAAAATTCACCCTGGCAGAGTTTTGCTATCCACTCAACAGATGAGGCGCCCTTCCTGCAGTTTATTTATTTATTTTTTTTTTTTTTCGTGACCCAGCTTCCCCCTCAGAATTCTTGAAATCAATGTGGCAGTAATTCCAAGGGTTGCCTCCAGGTCTTCCAAGGCAATTCCGCCATTTTCATCGACAGCCGCCACATTGACAGTGGCATTCTGTTGACTCATTTGAGATCCAGAATATAACCGGTTGCTTTTTACTATAATTTTACTGTAATGCTTTTTACTCAGAACCTCCCCAACTCGAAATCTCTTCTGCTGGTCCCTTGAAGTTCGACTTGTTCGACTGTACAGCATATGAAAAAAGCGTGGACCTAAATGTCAAGCAATGTGTTCGAATGTGTTTCTCTTCGCATTCGCCATAAATTTTGATTCACCTTTGCATGAATGAATTGCACCCTGCACTTGAAAATGCTCGCTTTTCCACTGCGCATCAACTTTATGGTCACGCATGTTGATATTACAGTACAGTGCCTCATTGTAAATAGGCTAAGTTCAGTACATTGTGCTTTACTGTACTGTACTTGGAAGGAGTCGAGAAATTTCTTTTGCACGTGTTCGAAATGCTACTTTTCACGCTGGCTTTTCATCTATTGTTGTTGGTTGGTTGAAAGGGGGAAGGGAGAGGAAAAAAAAGTGGGAAGTGAAAAAAATAATTGTTTGCCGGTGATTGCATAAAATAGCCTGGCGGCGGGACCAGTGGTGGTGTTGGTGGTGGTGTCGGTGTTGGTGTCGGTGGTTGTGGCAACCTGGTGACGGACGGTCTCTGCGCAGCCGCAGCAGCAGCAGCAGCTGAACAGAACCCTGTCCTGCTGGGCCTCTCTAACCCGTCCGCCCTGAACGCGTCTTTCCGTCACCAGAGCCTGCGCCCGCCCGGGAAACCCAGCGAGGACTATGCTCAGCTGTCTGCGGGTTTGACCGGTTCCGACTCGCACGCCAAGTGCTGGCTGTGCCACATGGACTGTCGTACGTACAAGAAGGTCGAGGAGCACTTTAAGAAGGAGCATCCGGGCGAGACGCCGTTTGTGTGCGACAAGTGCGGCGGGGAGTTCCGGGACCTGAGTTCGTATCGGAACCACGTTTATTACGAGAACCGGAAGGAGAAGCTTGCCAAGGGCCAGCTGAAGCCAAAATCCGGCAGCGGGAGTCTTCCGATGATGGTTCCGAATTCTAGGTGCGTAGTGTACAATAATGTATACAGTACTGCAGTACTGTACTAAGATGTCGTGAATGTGCAACTGGGGGGAGCAATTGTGCTGGGTTTCACTTCGACTTAGAGGGTTTTTTAATGGCATATTCCCTTTCCATGCGTGAATAATTGACGGTAGACATAGGAATCAAGATTCCCTTCAATGTTCAAAGCTTCAAATTGGAAGCAAGAAATACGTGTCAGTTTGCTTTGCGATTCTGCATATTTCCAGTACCGTGTGGCCCCGTGATGCGCAGATCACATTTGCTCACAGACTTCAGTCGTAACATTTTTGGTAACTTCTACCTTCAAAAAAAACAGTTGAAACGTTCTCCAAATATAGTATTGAAATACATTAAATGTTTCATTTTTACGTTAAGATGCGAAAAAGAACTGTACAGAAAAAGAAACCCACAGAGAATCTGCCCTTTTGTCGTAAAATGAGTTCAAAAAGCAAAAGAAAGAATTACTTTACCTGTACTGTATATTGCTACACTGTGTTCATTTGATGGAAAAAATCCTAAAAAGAGAAGCACAATATTTACTAGTTCTAGATTAAGAATTTTAAAAACGTTTGACGAGATGTATTTTGCGTTTTATTTCATACAATAACTAAATTTTTTCAGAAGCATGAAAGAATTTGAAGGGATTTTTTTCGATTGTTCTAGAAATTTTGGCGTCAAGTAAACATGACCTGTATCTGAAGACATTTTCTAGATGTCAGGGCAGATTTTTTTTTATGCTCAAGTGTCCTTAAGCTCAATCGTCCGTATGTCTGGGCACTACTGTACTGTATTTGGTACTGAATCACGGATTCCTTGACCCTTCTGAGTTTCATGGAGGAGAAAGACGGACAATTTTTAAAATTACAATGCTAAACACATATGTATCGTATTATGTTGATGTGCATCCTCAACGCAATGGCAACGCTTTTTTTTTTTTTTTTTTTTTTTTTTTTTTTTTTTTCTTTTTTTTTAAAAGAAATGGCATTTTTTTTTTTTTTTTTTTTTTTTTTGCTGAGTCGACCTTCTACTATCGTCGCTCGTGACGCGGATTGTGTTGTGACCTATTGAATAACAAATGATTTTATTTTTCGTGAGTCTCTAGTTGATTTTAAATTTGAATTATAATTTATAACTAAGTATTATTTTCGCATGGAATTTTGAAGTGTCGATGTTTCTCTAAAAGTCTCCTTGCATTGTCCATCACGGTACGAGCTGAAAATTGATACTGAAAATCGAAATTAATCATTGATTCAAGCATTGATTTTCAGACGCTTCCTTCCACTAGTTACTCTGGCTTCCCCTTGAATATGTTCTCTATTTCTTAAAATACGAAAGATAAGTCTTCGGGGAAGGTCTTTGAAGTCTGAAAAGAGCTTATTTTAGCAGCTCAGATGGTTGAGCTTTCTTGCTTTCTTCATCGATTTGAAAGATTCAATCAGTATTGATGAACAATTATGTTGATCAGAAACATATGTGACAGGTGAATCATTTTGTAGGAGAAGCGTTCGAAATTTTAAATATTGAAAATTGCGTGGGAGCGTATTTCCGACGTGGAACCTTTAAAACTGCCTCATTTGCATCAAAAAGTTCTGCTTCGTGAATTCTTGCTGATACATAATCATTTTTTGTCTGTCGCCAGCAGCACATCCCCTGGACCAAGCAGTAAACTGGGACGTCCGCCGTTTTCATTAGGCGGATCACTCGACACCTCCACGCCGAGCTCCACGTCGTCCGGGATTCTTCGCTGTGAACCGTGCAAATTGCCGTTTACCTCCGAAACTGCCTTGAAAGACCACTTCGCCAAAGAGCACAACAGCAACGCGGAGGATTTTCAAATGTCCATGGAACAATACGCGTTGTACAGCCAGGCGTTGTTCAACGCACACAAGGAATACATGTTGTCGCAGCAGAAGGAGGCGGCGGCGCAGTTGCAGCGTCAGATGCAGCAGTTTGGAGTTGCTGCAGCAGCCGCCGTCAACGCGTCTGGGAAAAGCAGCAGCAGCAGTAGTAGTTCAGGAACGGCGGCGTCCAACGGTAGTTTTGTCTGCGACGAATGCACTGCCCCGTTTAGGTCCAAGGAGGCGCTTTCCATTCACAAATTCCAGGATCATGGTGCCAAAGACAGCCTTCAGAAATTGTGAGCTGGATTTTTTTTCATTCCATGGTTTTGAACGAATGAATGATGGAAGAAAAGAATGGAATACTAGTGGGCTCTCTCTACAACAAAATTCAAGGGACCAGAAAAAGTACTGTACGTTGTAGAAAGAGTTTCGGTTGTAGAGAACATCGGTGAAATGGAGTATGAAACCCTATGAAACCGTGTGTGACAAAAAAAATCGTTCTACTGTTCCGAGAAAATAATTTTAGACAAGATATTTCTGGAGCGAGTCTACCTGTTTAACTGCAGTACAATCAATGTTACCGAGTGGCATTTATTATCTCACCCGGATGATCAAGTATCGCGTATAAGGTAATCTTGCTAGTAAGAATTTTACAAGCGAATGACAATTAATTCGCCGATGAACAGAGATTAGATTAATAACATTCGTGCAAATATCGGATTTGATTAGCACCAAAACATATTTGAATCGAGGCCTCTTTGTTTTCTCTCAGGAAAATTGAAGTTCGGCTACATGCATTTAATAAGCATCGATAAATTTGATTGAAATCCGATAATTCGTTGTATTCACCATAGCTGCTCGGGTTTCCCTATCGAGAATCTATTTTTAAGGAATGAGTAGTATATCTAGAATTCTACTGAATTTTTAATGGTCTAATTCACGAGAGAAAGATGGGAACTACTGTAAATCATTATAGCTTTTTCGACAGCGATTTTAAAAAGGATTTCAAACAAAGAAATTTTCAAGTATGACGAATGCCGTCAGACGAAAACGTGAGAAAGGTAGACGTGTTCTTGCGTTAAAGAAAATGTTTACCCACCACTGCCCCGCTTAGACCGTTTGATGGTTGAATTTGCTGGGATTTTGCCTTGCAATCAAACCTTTTCCCCGCAATTCGACCTGCCGAGAGACGCAAACCGTCAAATTCGACGTATCGCATATGACGTCTTGTGATTTGACCGCTTCACAATTTGACCCTATCCGAGAAACAGATCAAGGTAAAATGCAGGGGTACCACCTGTTGCGGGGTACTCTGTTTTAGAATAAATGGCATTTTTATTTTCACATCGAGGCTGCCCCGTCCGCTTAAGAGACCACGTGTTCCGATTTCAAGTTAAATTCGTTTTATAATGCCTTTGCATTTGAAATGAAAGGAAACGTTAAAATTACCCTTTTTTAAGTATTTCTTGTTCCACTTTTGAATATTACAGTACTGTACATCCTTAAGGCATTAAAAGTTGCTTTTCATCTCGCGTTTTATCCACCACTGAATCGAGAACAAGGATAATTTTGATGGTAACCCGGAAAGACTGACTACGGAAGAAAATTAGGCCCCGTACTTCTCATTTATGGCTACATAACCATCAGTTTTATACTTAGTACGAATTCGCTTTGAATGTCATCGTTATCAGACACGAAATTGATGATGCCGTTTAAATAGTCCCATATCTTTCGAGAATTTCTGGTCCACCGCTGCATTGACACCTGAACAAGCCAAACCTATACGAACAATTCCGTGCATCCTTTGTACGAATATACTGTATAAGGAAAATGCGGAATTCTATGGTCCCATGAACATAGAAAAGGCAGCTATCAGTGGCAACGCCTGAAAGTTATTCATTCTGTCGATTCCGAGGTACAGTACAGTATTCCTGAAGCGTGTTTACTCGCGGATTTGGGATGCAGAACATTTGATGCATGAAAGATGGATTTTTCCTGTCGACAAAGAAGGTGTCTGTTGAAGTGCTTATCCGATTAAAAATCGAATATGGAAGAAAAGTACTGTACCGTAATTCGGTCATGATTTTTATGTTTCGACGAGGGCCTGTGCAGTACTGTATACGAGGCGAATAATTTAATCAGATCTGATTTTTTTTAGCGTCTTGCTAGAAGAGAATCCGTGTAAAAAATCTGCTTTTAACGTGTGCCAAGGAATCCCGACTCTGTAAGATTGCGTCGACAACCGAAAGTGTGGATAGACAGAGGAATTAATTTTATCTCGGGTTAACTGTCGCTATTTGATTCTTTTTCCTGTGTCTCGTTGGATACTGGAAGGTGAGGTTTTGTCGTCTGACGCATTTTTAATTGCGATAGACCTTCACCCCTGTTTGAAAGTGGGTTTCTTTATTGTTGAGTATACAGTGTATTTAGGCATTTTTGGGGACGAAATTCTAATGATTTTTGCGTACTTTCCGCAGGTTATCATGAATGTAGCGAAAAGTTTGAATGATGCCAACACCTTTCTTGATGACCAAGACTCTGCGGGGAAGAAAGCAGGCACCCGGAAATCCAGGAGGAATACTCAGCATTTCGTGTTTACTGCATTTCTGCCCCCCCACAGCACAAGAAGCGTTTTTACTAGCGTGGGACTTCGAACCTCTTTTGCGAATTAGAACACAAAATAAGTTATTATCTGCGCCTCGGAAGTGCCGTTCTTTTTGCACTGCGAGGAGGAAATCGTAACGTATGACACTGGTACGGGTTCTGGCTGCGTGATCATCGCTCCGTATACATGGACGAGGTGTTGTTACCCCAAAAAACTGTTTTTTTCTGAAAAAAAAAGTTCTAAAACGTCTCTCGCATATCTTTTTGTCTATCCTGCTGTTAATAACGTGAGCGAACGTTGTGGAGCGGATTAATTAGAACCGTGCGTCTGTGATAAAACGTAAAGAGAAAGTGACAGTCAGTCGAACTTCCTGGGAAAATATGTTGTCGAGGGTTGTATCGCTGGTTAGTTAACCATCCCTTCTTATTGATTTTTTTCTGTTAGAACCTGGGGCTTTAAATGACAGGTCGTACAGCTGTGTTTATCATTGTTGTTTTTTTTTTCTCCGTGGAGGGAATATGGAAAGAGGCTTTAAAGAGATGCGGGGCAGTTGCGCGGTGTGAATGAGTTCCTTGATTCACTGGTTTTGTTTCGCTGATTTGTTAATTTCGATTCTGGTTTTGAGCACCTCGATCGGCGGATTAATGTTCGCACGTGGATTTCGGAATTTCAATGATCTTTCAAGGCTGTTAATTTTATGTCGAACAACTGTGAATCCCTGATCGCGGAATTACACTCGTCTCGATAAGCAGCTGTCGCTGAGATGAAGGAATGGTTCCGCTATCCCACTTGCTAAGTTTGGCGAGACACTGTTTAAGTTGAAGGTAGTGGGGATTGTTGGGCGAAATTCTGGAGAAAACGGAATGGTCTGGGTCTTAGTGAAACCTTTTGCAAGTACGGTGAAAGCATCAAAATTTCCTCCCTTCTTTAGGTGTTAACTTTATAAATTAACGTGGAAATTCGCCAGCTCATGTGCTGAGAACTGATCACCTTGTTCCCCTTCGAAGAATGCTAGTACATACTATTCCTGCTCATTAAAGCGTGAGTGGGTTGAGACGACGTTCTTGGCCATCTCGAATAATTCTGAAAGTCCTGCGGGTTCGGATAGGGTTTTTAGCAGTGATGGCTGTGTGTATTCAGTGCGTGCTCCGGCTCGCCATCCCGGGTGTTGGGTTCTATGCTGGCATCTACGCTGACCAAAACTACGATGTGCCCAAGCTTCCGTTCCCTGACGTGGGCCAGTATTCTAAGGCGACTGACCAATTCCCGACGATGACCCCGGCTCCGAAGCCCACTTGGCCGGATGATACGTACTCTTCAGTCTATGCTCCACGTCCTGCTTCCGCTGGAGACAGTTACTCGCAAAAGCAAGAGCCCCCTAAAGACAAGAGTGGTTCGTGGTGGCCCTGAAGCACCGTGACTCGGAAGCTGCTCCATTTGTGAATTTTATTCTTTCCATGTTAAGTTGTCTCTTGATTAAATCGTGCCATTCTAAGATAAAATGAAGTTTTCGTGTGATTTTTCTCAAAGATAGAATTGATGTGCTTACCTGAAGCGTAGTGATGACTAAGATGGTGACATCTAGCAGAGGAAGAGAAAACCGTGTTTACGCGAATATTAATGCCCCTTTTATCGATTCCAAAATGAGGGTGTGCATGTACTAGATTCACATATTAATACAATTCGCGGACATATGCGTCTACATCAGGCATTTTGCTGTTCGCGGCCCACGAAACCATCCAGCACTTCTTTTCTTCCGTTCTTTTCGAATTTAAGTTAAAAATAATCCAAAAGTGATTAGTTTTTAGCACTTCCGGATGCACGAATCATTGACTGAAGCGGAAGAGCGAGGGGTCTGACATCGTTTCACTTTTCTGGGGATAACCGAAACTCAGTTTAAAAATTCAACATCCCCGGAGAGACAGAACACCAGGAAAGTAAGTGGGTGCTTACATTTCCCCATTAATGAACTTTAATTTTTGTGCATGAAAAATCTAGTGGGGTGCTCATATTCGCGTCAATTCGGTACTTATTCGCAGTCTTTCATGTTCGGTTAGATAAGGTTAAATGAAACGCGAGGTTTTGATTGTGTTGAATCAGTGAACATAAATTATGAAGAAATTCCGGGTTTTTTTTTCCGCGTAGAAGTTCAATGCGTGAGTCTTATGCGGCTCCCCGAAAGGAAACTAGCCCTAGTGTTGATAAAGCCATGATGAAGAGTTGAGATTTCACAGCGATGAAATCAGTGAAAAAGAAAAAGATGACCCTGGATTAATCATGTACGCCTTGTGATCATTGAAATTCCGCAAATTTGCTTCACAGAGCCTCTTGCTTAAACCACTGGCCTCATACGGCACGATATACGTTGATCGGCAGGGAACTGAAAAGGAAAATGATGAAACGAGAGAAAGATTCTCGAGGGATTTTTGTAGCCCTCGGCAGCCAAACGAAACTGAGCGTTTGTAGCAGCTCCGAAGTCTTCCTCGTCAATACGGCAATGTTTTTTCTCCTCGGGCAGAGGACGTTCTTTTCCCTTTTGTTCAAATTCAGAAGAGCAAACTTCGCTGCCTTGTTCGCGACAAAAAAAAAAGTGTTTCCTCTGCCCGCGCGAAATATCGAAACTGTTTCGGGTGAAACTCGATGCATATCCCAGACGTTTGTTTCTCCTTGGCGTCGTGCATCGTTGTGATTCCCCCTTTCGTTGTGTAAATATGAGCATTGGGAGGAGAATCCTCAATTTTTAGTATTCAGAGGGAGACTGTGAAGGCTGTATTCTTGCTCTTTTGGGAGCGATGCATTCTTTTGTGTTTATAGGTTTTTCTTTGGAGAGATCCTGACTCGTCATGATTCGGTTCCGCTTCTGGCTACTTAGGGCTTTTTGAATAATTCACCAGTTATGGTTATCACAGTCGTTCATGCGAGCCGTTAATGTCACTCCATTAACGCGATTCTTTTCTGAATTCGATCCATAAAAAGAAATCGGAGCGCTTTTCAGAATGGAATGCGTCTTGGATTCACTTGCTAGTTCGTGCGCTGATCTTGTAATGTGTTTCAAATTTGTCGATAATCTCCGAGAATATGTTCAAATTTAGGTGATCTGAGTTGAATATCCAATAAAAAAAAACTGCGAATGTGGGATGTCATCTTGCAATGCGCTTCCCCAAATACAGTAATAATTTCCTAGTGACATGTCTGTCGAAGAATCGGGAAATTAATTACGCATAGGAGATATAAGATTACTATTCTTCAAAGTTTGATGCAATGCGGCGTGTTTGAGGATACAGTATATTGTCGTTTAATGAGTCCCTAATTGGGTCCACTCTGTTTAATTCTTTATGGCGTACTGAGAAATAAATGACATTGCGTCTTGGATTCGCCAGCAAACCTTTTTGCAGATGTTAGTGCTCAGAAATTGAGTGTAGGACGTCCTGTGTTCGCGGACAGGAGTTCGTTTTTTTTTTTTTTGCTGGCGTAAATCTCCTAAACCAGCCCATCCGGAAGCGGAACGGAACCGTGTTTTATTCAACAGGTTGGGAGTCGGAAGTAATCGCGCGTTGTCCCCGAAAGGACAAGAATACTCGACTGTGAACCGGAAAAGAATCCGCAGTAGCAGAAAATTCTGTGTCCATTCCTGAACGCGCGGCCGCAATTCTTATCAGGGAAAGAGACAGCGAGTCTCGTGTATTGCACAGAAATGAGAGGAAAAAAAAAGAAATGGAACTAATATGAAGCGTTGAGAATGCATTTTATCGTAGAACCAAAGAGGCAAGGTTATTCGATTTCTTAGTGAGAAGGAAACACTGTTCGTTGTGGAAATGAAGCAAGGAAAAAAAGAAAGCCGCGGAAATATGAAAAAAAGAAGAGGTCGGGAAAAATGTTTTTTGTTGTTTCGAGGTTCCGTATGTAAGTTTTGTTTTCGATATATTTATGGCGCGTGGTCGTTGATATTTTTGGGTTTTCGTTTCGGCTTTTCTCTGTTCCGAGAGACGGCGGTAAATAACGAAAAATTTTCCTCTTCGACGAGAGCGACTTTGTCTCCGTGGTCCAGCAGTTTTTGTACTCTGTTCGCATTTTGTGTTCTGTTTCTTTCTATGTCTTTTCGACTGTCTGCTAAAATCGAGAAGAGAGAAGACATTAGTATTTCGTTGAATGTGACTTCGATGCGTCTTTTTTTTCCTGTGCCGAAACCTTCTGGAGCAATTCGAAAATATGTAGACCCCAAAAGATCAATCACTATTTTTTGATTCCGTGAATTACTGTACGAGATTTGGTTTATGTATTTGTTTTCAGGCCTTTGCCCTCGATGGAGTCATGTTCAATGAACGAAGATAATCGTGATTTCATCATCTCCTAACTAGTGTTGGAATTTTCTTTCACTCTGGTTGAAATTAAAAATAGAAAATAATAGAGATGACATTGGACGGTTTAACTGTGAGGTGGTAGAACCTAACCGATCCACTTGCAGTTTATTTTGAATTTTCAGCCGTTCAAGTGCATAAAATATTAATGCCAAAATGTCTTGGTGAAAATATTCCAGTTCGGGCAGCCATATTCCAATAAAAAAGCATGTTCGTTTCGGAAATTTTTGTGGTGATAATTCTCGATTTTAAGCTCGCCGTGTAATTTGATTTTATGAAAAATAAGTTCATCTAGTCGTGGCTGACATTGCATAAAATCAGTAGGGTGAGGACGAATTTTTTCAAGTCCTCATTGATTTGGTGGAAATTGTCTCAGAAACTTGGGTACCTCAAGTAGTTACTGGCAATGCACCTTGCGCCATCCTTTTGTATGTCTTCTGACGAGTGAGTCGTAATGCCTGTATTTCCTCAACTGTCAACCTTTTGTTGATCTTTGTGCATTGGACATGGACCTCTCCCGAGTTTGTCGCAAAGCACCAAAAAACCTGCTTTCATCAGATTTTTTGAGATTAAAATGTGGAAATATTTTTTATTTCCACTGATAGGAGTTTATTTTTGAAGTTGAAGAAGTTTGAGTCGAAGAAGGAATTGCCCAGAGAGTAGCGGTGTGTATTGAGGTTAGTTCCATGAAATTTTTTTTTATTTTTTATATTGCCTACTGCTAATGCCGACTTTTTCCTCTCCTGCTCGAAAGAAAAATAATGTCTTTGCTGCTTGTGTACTCGGTGTTGTATGCACTCGTGTGCGTATGCTTGTTGTATCCACCGACGGAATTCGTGAGTTCGGGCTTGACAGTGGAAGGTGTATTTTCGCGATGGCTCGGCGATCCGACGACGGATTTCATCGGATATCAAGTGCGTCGTGCTGCGCTCAAGCGGATCTTCGTCGCCTTCATGCCGTTTGGTGCGATTGTTTTCTCGTTTCTGTACTGTATACTATACAATGAAAAAAAATCACAGCGATACCGTCATGGTAATCTGCACAAACAGCAAGTTCTTAGCTGTAAGTTCCCGCCCGTAATTCGTGTCATCGTGTTCATGCGTTGGAAGAGTCTAAGTATCAGTTGGCTGCAACCCGTGGTCCGCGGGAAATTTTCGTCAGCATGATACATTTATCAAAGGTTGTAATGAAATCCACCGCTACCTGAAAATTTGGAAAGACAATGGCAGTTGAAATTATCTGATGTAAAATAAAAGTTCGTGCAAAAATTCGTTCAAAGAGACTTATTCGCAATATGGCTAACCGAATAAAAAATTTTCAGTTTCAGTCGTTGGTAATCCTCTTTTCTGAATTCAGTCCGCATTCTTTCCACTTGAACCGATATTTTGAAATCCCAATCTGGTAAGTTATCTTAAACTGAAAAACTGGCCGAAAATAGATCTTCGTTGCGGTCCCGAACTACCTAGCTCAACCTTAATTGACTCGATCTGAAGTACTGTTATTTAAAGCTACCGAATTTAAATAATCTAACAGAAGCAAAGTTCATTTTCAAGCAGGTACGTCCCCTGAATTGCAGAACTGACCGAAAATAACATCTTCGTTTTGAATCGGAATTACCTAACTTAACCTTAATTGACCCAATGTGAAGTACTGTACTGTTACGGAAAACTACCGAATTCGAATGATCTAACAAAGGCTAGACGAAAGTAAACGTGTGAAAATGCGTACGCGATCTTCAGTCCGTAATGGCGAAAGAAATTCCACAGTGAAGAAAGTCTGGCTTTGAAGGGAAAATTATTTGGAATTTGATCTGAAGGATTGTAGTTTCCCGTAAATTATTGTCTACATTCTTTTTCCTTTTAAAATTTCAAAGGCGTTTCAGTCTATTCATCGATTGCATCTGTGAAAAATGTCGTGAATTTTCAGGGTACTTCGCGCTGGCCTTGAAACTGTTCCACGAAGGCTTTTATCTTCCGATTGACGTTAGCGGCGTCGGAATGGCGGTGGGTTGGGACACGATGGCGTTGCTGTGTGCGGTGTGCCTGGCCTTTTTCCTCACCTACTGCTGTTTCGTGTTTACTGAAAGTCTGGTTGGTGATTGGGATTGGACACCGATCGCCAAAACCCTGGAGGATTTCGCAGGTCCCGGCGAAAACTGGAGGGTTGTGGCGTCGCGGATCAACTCGGAAGTTGCGAGAGCGGATAATTACACCACGGACCCTCGATGTCCCATTCGAGTGGTTGTCACTGAGAATTGGATTATTCAGGTTTGTTGTGATGCGAGTGCTTGGAAGAAACAAGTTTGCTTAGAGCTTCTGTCCGATTATCAGTGTGTACTGTACATGATGCTCGTGATGCTCATTATGCGATGGACGAGCGTATGATTTCGAGATTTTGGTCCAGGTTCCATCATTCTTCATTCGTATGTATTACAGTAATATGGCTCCGCAAGAATAGGTATCCAACGAAAAGGGACCCGGCTAGGGACGAAGTAGTGAAGGAACACAAGACAAAAAATCTCGAAAAGGCGGGTCAATGGCACCGGTGGGTGACGAATCGATGCTCAGTTTTACTTGATATATGTTTCAACGGCTTATATTTACTGCAGGTAAAATCACCGTTATTGACTGATGAGTGTTCATTTCTATACAGATTCTTTATTCCATATTCAGAGTTCTTGAAAGCATCACTGTAGCAGGAATAAAATATTCTAAAACCAATACAGTAGAATCTCGTTACAATGAATCTCATTGTAACGATTCTTCGGTTGCAACGAAGTCGTTTTTCAGGTCCGTGCCCATTTTACTGATTTTCAAATCGCTTTACGGGTACTGTATAACGAATTTATATTTTGTGACGAAGCTTTTCCCCGGTCCCAACAGCTTAGTTCTAGAAAGATTTTACTCTATTTCCAAGGAATGCAAAAAGTCTAACCAATATTATTGAATAAAAAAAATGTTCTATTAGTGCATGGCTTGTCCAGTCCATGCGTATCGAAAACTGTGCGCTATGATGGACCGTCATTCCCACAGGTGTTGATCCCTCAGCCCAAATTCCCCCTTTGGGCTTTTTGTAGCGGGTCTCTTTTCTTCTTCGTCCCCGGGACCTCTTCTCCTGGGTCCCTTTTATTTGAGAACTTATCCTCCGAGAGTGGCATTCAATTGATACGAACCTTTTTTTTTGCGCTCTTCGTACTGCTGAAATCGACAGTAATTTTTTTTACGTTGGTCAAATTCTTCCGTCGACCCGCAGCACTTCCATCAATCCTTCGCTACTCGGCAAAAGTACAGTATCTGCAATTTTGAACGTGTGATCAAGATCCTAGTTCGAGATTAAATACATATTATCCATGAATATTTTTTGAAGTTATAAATCAATATTGATTGAAACAGTCTGCAGTTCTTTAATTTGTCTTTTGTGCTCGTGTGTTCTGTTCAGCACATTGATGTCAGTCTTCATGTTGACACAGCAGCGAAGGTGATAGCAAGTGTTTGCGCTGTCGAGTATGTATTCAATACAGGAATGCAGAAGAGCGGAAGGGTTTATGTCTTTGCTGCAAAGTCAATGAATGATGGGATGAATTTTTTCAAAATCCGAACTGGTCATGTTATTTTACCGTCAACGATGATGATGGTCATTTAGTATGCAATCTGTTTTCAGGTTAATTTATTCGGCTTAGACGTGGCTTGCCAAGAAAATGCTGTGTTCACTTTGCATAGCAGCAACGACTTCGCCATATCTCATCATCATGTTTTGGGCATTCAGTTCTTGAATCTCGTCGTATCCTGCGAAGGACACAACAGGAAATCCTTCGTCGTTCGGTTAGTAATTTATAAAATTTTGCCGTCAAATCTTCCTTCTAATCAATCGTAATGAAAAAATACGTAATCAAATATGCTGACACTGTACAAATACATTTCTGGAGGCATCCGTAACAAATCCGTGAAAATATTTTCACTTATCAGGTGATAAATTGAAAAGCCTTTTTAAAAATCCGAAAATATCTCGGAATCATTGCACATCATGGGCTATGTCATAATTTTTTTTTCCCAACAATCGCAAGTACAGAAAATCGCGTCCAACTAAAACAACCCTCGTATGTAGTCTCCGCGCAAAAATTACGTAGAAAACGAGTAGTGCGTTCATGCTTCAACAAATTCCACGGAATTGTTCAATTCTTGTTCATGTTTTTTGAGAAATTTCTCACCAAATTTCTTATTCTCCTCGTGCAGAATTCCATCCACTGACTTCGAGCCGTTGTCGCTGCGACTCCGCCGCCAGATTCAGAACGCGGACAGCATTCCGATCGCCAAGTCTCCCTTGGACAAGTTCATGCATACGTTCAAAGAATGGGCTGGTCGGAACCCGCGAGTGGAGTATGCGGGTGAACTGGAACCCTGCGTGGGTTGCATGGAGCGACCTGCAGAGGTGAAGCTCGTCAGACGTTGCCTGGAAGAGAACGTGCGCAGCGTGGATGTGGAGTACAATGGCCAGTTTCTGCGCTTGTCCACCTGCGTGCGATGCCAGTGTCGACCCATGTGGTGCATCGACTGCATGAGCAAATGGTCTATAGGCTTTTCTTCTTCTCCTTTTTAATTTTAAACGCCAAATTCGTAGTTGAACCTTGATAATTCGAACCCACTTGAGCCGAAAGCCTTCCCGTGTCAATATTATTATTTTTTCAAGTCCCTGTGTGAATTATTTTAGAAACAAAGCATTGAAAATCCCCTTAGCTCAAAACCTTTTCGGTACTTTCCTGTTATCTCAGTACCTACTTTCCTGTTCTCTGTACCTTCCCTCTGACCAATTTAACCTGACCTAACCTAACTTTACCTAACCGCCTCCCAAAATCAGTTTCAGCAGAATGCAGAAAAATAAAATTCACAGTTTCTGGTAGGTTGTCGTGATTATGCACTTGTCCTAAAGATTTGTCTGGATGGTAGTGCAGTCTAGGAATGAGGTACTGAGATAACAGGAAAGTACCAACTTTTCTCCGTAAACGGCTATCATTATATTGACACAGGATAGATGAAAGCAATAAAAATGTATCTAGATGAGTTTTGAACGGAAGGGAAAGACACTTGGGGCGAATGAACCCTTGCCTCCAAGTTCAGCATCCTTTCAAGTCGTTTAAGAAGCGATTGAAGGCCCAGAGAATCACAAATTACAATTTCCTGTAATACTAATTTCTCCAGCAAAAAAAAAAAAGCTTAATACTTCGTATTAAAGCCTCCCCTAACTCAATTTTTTTCGGCGGGTATACTCCGTATATGCAGTCGAACCTCTTTAAGTCGGTCCACAAGGGACAGCCAAACATTTTAAAACAAGCACTTTCGTGGGGAGAAAGAAAGAAGAATTACATCATATTGTAATCGGTGATATTTTGGGCCTTATATTCTGCTGAATTGCAGAATGTAGATTCTACATACTGTATTAGAGCCATCACATCAATACATATTTAGGCATTTTTGATGGACCAGAACCTGCTTATCAGGACCATCAGTGATGATCTGGCATTTTGAAATCCGTTGCTTTTAAATAATGAGGAACAGATTTTTCTGTTGTAATCTATATTTTGTGTCTTACTGACATTCAAATGCATGTTTCCACATTTCATTTACCATTTTATAAAATGATTACGATATTCGCTTGAATGATTCTTCAATATTCTATGTATACATTTTAGGATATTTATCTAAATTTCACCCAAAAATGCACACTTTCAAACAAAATTACTTGACCCTCAATAAATTACTAAATAAAAATCTTGATCAACATGAAACGAAGGAAAAAACTGCTCAATAATCGAAAACGATGCTCAATACAATCGAGTACAGTATACCGTTTTCTGAAAACTGTTATTGGATGGGCTTTTTATATTGATGACTCGAGTCATGAGACTCATGAGGCATTTACGAAGGTGATTGAACAAACTTTCCCTCTTACTTCGTACAATTTTTTAGTCTAGGTTAGGACTTTCGAAATCACTCATTTCTAAAATGACGTTTTATATTTTTCTCTCGTGAGTTGCCCTTCGAAAAAACCTGGAATTAATTTTTTTTTGCTCTTCGCAGGTTCATTGCGAGACAAGACGCAGACAGGCCTGGGACTTGGTTGACGTCAAGAGCACCGTGTCCGACGTGTCGCTCGCCGTTTTGCCTACGTGACGTTTGTTACCTCGCATCTCGAGTGCCGGCGGAGTGATGCGACGAAGATGAAGGATTTTATTAATTCAGCCTAGGGAATTGAAACGAAGACGAAATCTCTGGTTTCTTTTCGTGTTCGAGGGAAATCTTCCGAAATTCGCCCTCGAAAAATCTTGAGCAACGGAGGGTTTTATTCCATGAATCAATTTGGGGCTTTCGTAAGTGCCTGTGATCGTGCGCTGAACACCGTACGGCACAAAAAGTTGGGCGGATTCACGTTGGCGTGTAAGAAAAGGATGTTCATTCATTGTGGGTATTCTGTCAAATTTACTGTTCTTTGACTTCGAAATTTTGACAAGATAATCGATAGGGACAATCCTGTGCATCTTCTTTTTTTTTGTGGAAACATTTCAAGTGCAGTATTTTCTTTCACTCAGATCCACAGTTTTTTTTTTTAAAGGACCAATTTTAGCTGTAGTTCTGATGTGCTGGTTGAAAATGAAGCGGAAATGAAAAGCGGATGATTTGCAGGCTCAAAATCTGTGTAGGATGAGAATTCGAAATTTTAAAGATGTGGTTTAGAACTTCAGGCTTCAGAGAACATTCTCTGAAATGTTTGCGCACTAATTCTATGAGATTCAGAAGCTGTCAATACCGTGAAGCTTTGAGTTTCTCCTGTAAGGGGCGATTATATTTTGAAATCTTTGTGATGCCAACGATCGGTGAGCCGAGGTTATTTCTTCAAATGCGTGCTTCAGACCTCGACAGTCTAACTAGGAAGTCGATTTGGAACTCGTTGTATGAAATTGGAAATTGAATGTCAAAAAAATGAATGCACTCTGTTTTTTTTACGGGATTGATGGATGGGGTGAACCGAATTTCCGGCTGTGTGGTCGATGTAGTCGATTTGTCCCATTTTCGGGTAATGCGGAGCAAATTTTTTTTGTTTGAATGAGTTGTGAGAATGATGTGGTTGACCTCGGGTTCTTGGGTAAAAGGCTCTGAGGATGTCTTGTCTTATTCTGCGAAGACTCATTCTTTTGCAGGATACTGTTTTTATAAAGGTAAAAACTCTTACGAGGGTTTCTCCATAATTTGGAGTGTCACCAACAAAGATCACACGACCAAAATTTTCATTGTAAGCAGAAGGGAACCTGGTCACTTTCATTTTTTTTTTGTTCAGAGAAGAAAAAAGGATAATTTTATTCAAAATAATGTGTGCTGATGAAGTAAGCAAATAGAAATCATCGGAGGGACCTGTGATCTCAACCTAATTGGGCCTTCAGAAAAAACTTCATGAAGCGTTTTGCATTTATTTATTCATGGTGAGGATCCAAAAATTTTAGCTGGCATTTTCTCTTTAAAACTTCGTCACAACTGCGGCGAAAGTTCCCAGCTCTCTTCTTAACTGCTCGCTTTTTCACAACCACCATATTTTCATCAGAAGTTTCCATTCTTTGGGTGTAACAGACATCCAGGAAAAATAGGAATTTCCACCGAGAATGTTTCAAGACACCCAGCAACTTTCTTTGGTTACGTATATTCATTAGTCCCTAAACTATTTGCATTAATTTTTGAGAGACGGCTGAAAATGGCCGTAAAAGGGAATGAGCGCGTGCTCGGATTTCTACAAGAAATATCCTCCAGACGTAATCTAATAAACGAATTCAATTCTGGGGAGAATGGGATGAATTCGTTTCATTAATGGAGAAGTTGCTGATGAGGAACAGTTCTGTTTTACTCGAATGTGACAACGATTTGTTGGTGATTCTTGCAAGTTTCAAGACACTCTTCATATTTCAAACCTTTGAAGCTCGTCGTGCTCAACAAATCTGAAATAGCATTGCGACGGGTTATTCTAAAAGCAGGAAGCCGTTTCCGTCTTTCTTACTCAGAAAAAAGCTTCGAATGTGGTTTGTGGTAAACTTTTTTTTACGAGTGGGGTTTTCAAGAAAATGTTTACGGTAACCGAGAGATAACCGCACTTCCTCATCGGAGATGAATGAACAGATTTTTATTCAATTCCCGATTTTCTTTTACCCCGAATGCAATTTTTACCCTTCCAGGTTTGAGATACGGTACGATTATCTTCATGGGTTGAGAAAATCTAAAAGCATGAATGAAAATTTTTGAAATTTCTTTGGTTTGTGAGTGACAGACATTGCGGGCAGGATTTCATGAATTGAATTTAATGAACTTCAGAGGCATTACGATTGCCTTAATTTTAATCACACGTTTGAAAATCACAGTGAAGCCTTTCTTACTCCGAAAATAAATTGGGAAATTTTCCATTTATTTAATTTTTTGCCATTCGTTGTGACATTCAACCCGACTATTTTTGATTTTATTAATTTTTTTCTTGCAACCTAAATCTTATGAGATCCTCCGATTCACCCAGTATTCGAATATGAACAGTCCACTTTACTTGAATACCGTTGATGCCTCATTATCTACCAAGTTTTCACTGCCGCCACATTTTAAAATTAGTTTATCTTGCTTGATGCCGTTCTCGCGAATCAAAATCGTATGCCAAAGTTCAAGCGGCAAATTACCGATACCATTGTTTTACAGTCATGAATTGCTTGTTGTAATTTCATTTTCTGTTGGAGCAGTTAAACCTCTCAGGAAATCATAGTATATTTACCTCCTGTGTGCGAATGAACTTCCTCGGACTTAGCTTCCTCTGGTTAATATTTTTTTCGCTCAATGTCAAACCTAGGGGTCATTGATTTTGATAGGGTAAGACAACTTCGAGGAAGCTTCGAAAATAATAGCAGACGGCTGAATACTTCTGGTGAGCTATTCAAACATTTCGAAAGCCCCCGTCGTATTCGGAGGAAATTACTCAAACTCAAATGGAATCGGAAATGCGACTTCATCATTCAGGATTTTTTTTTTCAGCGTGTGGTTCGGCGTTCGAATTAGCCCTTTTTGAAACTTGTTCTGAAAAGTATGTTATAGCGCCAGAAAGTGATTCGATAATGGATTAAACCTTCTAACGCTAGCGGAAAGAGCAAATCTTTAGAACTCGTATCAGTCATTCATGTCTTTCGTGCGCTCTCCAGATTTGTCGGCTCTCTTGTGGATTATATGGGATTTTTGCGGAAATTTTTCATATTATGAACACGCGATGAATTTGCTGCAAACCCACCACTATATGTCCTTCATTTTTTGGATATTTTTGGTAGCGAAAAATTTGAATGAGATTGATGCGCCGATCTTGATTTTCCCAGGATGAAATCGATGCAGAGGATGCGTGAAAAATGAGGACCTTGTTCGCGATAATGGATCCACTCTGAATCGCCGTGGGAGCAAAAAAGCGGATTTTTGTCATAATTAAAGTGAACGATTTCAAGTAGGATTTTGTTGCGTGTTGGTCTGTTGAGACGTAATGACAACTGAAGAAGTTCCTGTGGTGGAAGATGCCGGCAAACGTGTCGACGACGTTATTCTTGCCACGGCGGGCTACGATCACTCTTTGCGGATTTGGCAAGCCTGTTCCGGTGTTTGTCTTCGGACATTGCAGCATCCGGACTCAGTTAGTTCTAATTTTTTTCCCTTTACCTTGGTTCCGTTCTTGTTGAAAGGAAATTTGCCCTAGATGGAACTTTTTTTTTTTCTTTGGAAAGAAAAACGTGTGCCGGTACGGTGACAGAGTGGTTTAATTTTGTTGAGACAGTGAAAAATTGACCACCTGTCATTTGCAAATGTTCTAAATTTGAAACTTTTTTGACGCATTCTCCACTAATATAAAAATAAATGCTGTCTGAATTCAAGAATTCAATCGCTGAAATAGATCGTGTTCATTTTGGTGAACATCCGGCATGCTCAACGTGCAGACCATTCAAATATCCAATCCTGGATCCTCGCATGGAGAATAGTAATGATGACTGACAATTTGTTTTCCTGTTTAACACAGTAAAATCTCGTTACAACGAATCCCTCGAAACCATTGAAATAGCTTCGTTGTAAGTCTTGTAACGAAAACTTTGTTTAAAATTACCTCATTTAGCATTGTGGCTATTGGGCAGGAATCCAAAAAATAACTTCGTTTTAAGTGATTATTCATTGATTAACGAACTCCCTTGTAACAAGATTCGACTGTATTAAAAAGAAAAATGTGTGGACATAACACCCATGATATGTTTCGGCGTAGAATCTGTATTAAAGTGGCTTGACAATCTAATTATGGTAATATGAATATGTTGACGGAATTGGTGTTTCGGTTGCTTGTATTGCAGCAAGTCAATGCTCTGGAAATCATGCCGGAACATAATTGGATCGCCGCTGCGAGTAAGAGTTAATTTCCGTTTCGATTCTCTTCAAGAATATTTGTGAGCCAACGTTTAAAATTTTCGAATTAGGCTTTCAGCACATCCGAATGTACGACCTCCTGTCGAGCAACGCAAATCCTGTGATAAACTTTGAAGGCGTGAGCAAGAACGTTACAGCTGTCGGTTTCCAAGAAGACGGGAAGTGGATGTTCACTGGTGGAGAGGACGGGACTGCAAAGATTTGGGATTTACGGACATGCAATATTCAGTGTCAAAAAGTGTACGAATGTTCTGCGCCTGTCAATTGCGCAGTGTTGCATCCGAATCAAGGCGAACTCTATGTTGGTGACCAGACTGGTGCCATTCATATCTGGGATCTTAGGTAAGCTTGCTGGTTGCAAGGGTTCGGATTCCATCTGATTTTTCTTTTGCTGCCTAAGATCATCCTTTGAATGGTTTTTCAGTCGAACCTCTCTAAGTCGAATTTCAAGGGACCAGCAAAAAATAGATTCGACTTGAGAGGTTTCGACTTACGGAGGTTCGACTTACTTCAAGTTAGGAAAACGATCGTTTTTTGTTGCAAGGAACTAAGAATTGCAGGAAATTGTAAATGCTGATATTCTGGACCTTGAATTGCTTCTTGAGTTAGTTTACAGCATGCTCAACTTGGAGGGCTCTGCCCAATTAGTCTTTCACTTCCTTTCAAAACACGGTTAATTTTTTATTAATTTTATTTTTTCTGGGTCAAGAAAATTATGGCCAAAAGGCCCCAGAAAATTCGACTTACGGAGGTAATCCTACTAATCGGCTTCGGGAGGTTTAAGTTATCCAGGTTCAACTGCAAACAGTTCACAAAATCATCACATCCGCTAAATTCTTCACGTTCACCCCGCGTGAAATCCGTGTTCCTCGTGCGGGCGTTTACACAGTGCAGTACTGTATATAAATGTTGCGGAGCTTGTTGGATTTTAATAGCTAGTCGGATTCTAATCAGCTGATTGTTCTCTTTAAACCTCCTTTCAGGACGAATCAGAATGACCAATTGATTCCCGAACCGGATGCATCCATTCAGTCAGTAGACGTGGATGCGGCAGGAAATCTAGTTGCTGCTGTGAATAACAAGGGAATGTGTTATGTTTGGAATATGCGAGATGGGACGCAGCAAACTTCGCGTCTCGTGCCATTGATGAAGTTATCTGCTCATAAAAATTACGCGCTCAAGTGCAAATTCAGTCCGGACTCCACGTGAGTATTTTTTAATTTTTTATCATGTTCCAAGTGTCGTTAAAAGAGCGATTCGAAACCATCCGTGTGAAAATGACGGATGAGAACCAGTGAAAGGGGGAGATTATGCAATATTACAATTAATCAAAGGCGAACAGCACTTGAAAGTATCTACTGTATTGCTGAGGGAATAGGCGATACCATTTTACTCGCTTCGAACGTTTTATTTAGGGAAATACAGTATTTGACGAGGGAAGGTTTTCAGATGTTTCGCCTGATGTAACCGGGCCTAATCATTGTTTTACGCGAAGAAACAGTTTTTCGCAAATCATGTTGGGAATCTTAAGCGAATACGTTTAGCGAATTTTTTTCGACTGCTGTACTAACGTAGCTTGCGTTGCTTAACAGAATGCGCGACGAATTTGACTCCTTGCATGATTTTTAAAGTTGAGATCTTTTTTATGTTCAAGATGCTGTTGAATATTACCCGTGTTTACTCGAGCACCACGCGCACATTTTTTCTCAAATTAAAGAAAAATAGGGTGCGCGTCATTGGCGGGTACAAATTTTTCAAAAATGTTAAAGGAAAGGTGTGAATTATCCTGGGAAAATTGTACTGAGAAAATTATTGCGGGAAAATTTAGAACGATGTAATCAAAAAACTTATTTTTATGGAAGTTCCTGAAAATGAGTTGAATTCAGGTTCAATTCGTGTCTAAATTCAAATTTGGGTGTTTTTTTCTTTGAAATACTCCACTGTACAATATTCCAGTTTCAGGGTCACTAAAAATGGGTTGGGCATCTTTCTTGGGGGTATAATTTGATCAAAATTTTAGACTGAGAAACCTGGATGCGAGTTTTACGTGATCCCACCCCTCATTTACCCGCAGGTATACAGCCCCATAAAAAAAGAAGCCCTTTCCTCTTGCTCTTAGCCCGGGATTTTCCCCCTTGAATTTCGAATTGCACATGAGATCTATGTCCAAAACCAGACACTAAAGTCTTTGCCAGCGGGATATTTTACAAAAACCGTCCTGTAAAGAGTTCATAGCGTTGTTTCCGTGTCCGAACCAAAATCTCTCTGAAAAGAGCTAAAAATGTTCTACATGTTCGAGAAAAAAAAAATTAGACGGATAGTCATTCTAGAATAGGTGAGAAACTTCACATGATCACTCCACTCCACTTTTTGTTCAGTTTGGGGCTTGTGTTTCAATTCAGCTTACCCTGAAAAACGTATCTCTTTATTTTTCCGTCAAGAGACTTTATATTGTTACTGATTGTCTGTTAACCAAAGCGCAGCTGCTTTTTGTATGAGCACAATTTCGTAAATGTGCAATTTTCCGCACCCGCCGTTGTTGGGACGCGACGCTTGAATGTGCGCTCAACTGTCCCGCTGTTCAAATGTTTCCGCTTAAAATGTTTCCTCTGATTCTGCAGTATTTTGGCGACCACGTCTGCGGACCAAACTGCGAAAATCTGGAGTGTCGAAGATTTCTCGTTGCAGAAAACCCTCACGGACCCGAGTCAAAGATGGGTTTGGGACCTCGCGTTCACGTCCGATTCTCGCTATCTATTCACTGGTAAGGTTATTCTATTCACTCACTGAGTGGGGTGCAAAAAACAGTAATGCATTTTCTGATGATTTCCAGGGTCGTCGGATAATTTTGCTAGATTATGGGACCTGGAATCTGGCACGGTGCAAAGAGAGTATGCGGGGCATCAAAAGGCTGTCATTTCTATCGCGTTCCGTGATACAGTCATTGGTTGATTTTATTTTTTAAGATGGTGTAGTTCCGCAAATTTTTCAAATGTTACGTGCATAGTTTCGTTGCCAAAAAAAAAACATTTTTGAAAGAGAAAGAGTTCTGAAATGATTTTTCCCGATGCATTATTAGAGTGGAAAATCTGGCTTTGAACACCCCCTCAAACGTCCTCACAACTGGAGCAAGATTAAATGATTTAAAAAAAAAACATTTTTGAAAGAGAAAGAGTTCTGAAATGATTTTTCCCGATGCATTATTAGAGTGGAAAATCTGGCTTTGAACACCCATCCAAACGTCCTCACAACTGGAGCAAGATTAAATGATTAATAAATTTATTCTTCTCTTGTTTTCTTGAATTAGTTCGCATCTGATCTACCTCACGAACTATGTTTTTGTCTGATGAAACACATTTAAATCATAATCCACGAAATGTATAATTTTATTCTGAGTGAAGCTGTGCGTGCGAAATTTCATCAGTCTTCTATCGGCGTCCTACCATTTTATAACCTCCAACTCCATATCTTTCTATGATTCCCGTCAATTCACAACGTTCAAGAATTCCCGAAGGAATAAAAATGCTCTAGCCATTTCCCCACAATCCATCGGTTTTGTTCTTTCCTCAGGAAAATAAGCAGCAACAGAAAGTGACACAGTAGATAACACGCCATTAAAAAACAAAAAACAAGATCTTTCCACACGAGATTCCCCAATTGTGACCATGAACAGTTATCAGAAATAGATATCACATTTCCGAGAGTCGACGTCCTCGTCCCCCCCGCTCGCACACAATATTTATGCGTCTTCTTCGCAAATCAAACGCAGCGTTCCGTCTCGGTAACAGCAGGCTTCTTCTTCATCCACGGAGGAGGCTGATGGCCAGCAGACCCAGTTGTTGTAGAAATGAGTGCTCATTCGTACATGTCGTCCTCAAAGCCCTGCTTCTTGAGCCGCCCGGCCCAGATCAGCTTTTCGATTCGCGGAAACAGCTCGGACTTGGGAGGACAATCGTTCTGCCGCACGCTGCCGAGAAGCACTTTCAGGAGCAGTTCCGGCGAGACTGGCAAGTGGATCTGGAAAAGTAAAAAAAAAAATAAAAAAAAAACAAGGCGATAGCATGAATCCCTCGTAAAGTGCTGGTGAAAGGACTGATTTTGCGATAAAACAAGATACCAGTCGAACCTCTGGAAGTCGAATTTCAAGGGACCAGCAAACAAATTCGACTTGGGGAGGTTACCACTTTGGGAGGTTTGGAGTTGCAGAAACAAGTACTTTTGTTGTGGGAAAGATGGTAGAATTTCCAGGAATTTCAATTGGTAATATTCTGGGCTTCAGTTGCTTCTTAAATGAGTTGACAAGATGCTGAACTTGGATGCAAGGGTTCATTTTCCTAATTAGTCTTTCACTTCCTTTTGAAAGTTTTTCAGTTTGATTTTTTAAATTGATTTTCTCTTTTGTGTTTCAAAAAAAGAATAGCCAAAAGGACTCAGAAAATTTAAGTGAGGGAGGCTGGAGAGAAAGAGTCTTCAAGTTAGGAAGGTTTTTAATGCATTGTTTTTAACAGTATTTGGACAGGGATTAAATCAAAATTCTACTTAGGTAGGTTCAAGTGGTACCTTGTAATTTGACCTGCTTTTCGATTCGCGGAAACAGCTCGGACTTGGGAGGACAATCGTTCTGCCGCACGCTGCCGAGAAGCACTTTCAGGAGCAGTTCCGGCGAGACTGGCAAGTGGATCTGGAAAAGTAAAAAAAAAAAAAAAAAGGCGATAGCATGAATCCCTCGTATAGCGCTGGTGAAAGGACTGATATTTGCGATAAAACAAGATACTAGTCGAATCTCTGGAAGTCGAATTTCAAGGGACCAGCAAACAAATTCGACTTTGGGAGGTTTGGAGTTGCAGAAATAAGTGTTTTTGTTGTGGAAAAGATGGTAGAATTTCCAGAAATTTTAATTGGTGATATTCTGGGCTTCAATTGCTTCTTAAATGAGTTGACAAGATGCTGAACTTGGATGCAAGGGTTCATTTTCCTAATTAGTCTTTCACTTCCTTTTGAAAGGCTTTGAGTTAGATTTTTTAATTGATTTTCTCTTCCCTGTTTCAAAAAAAATAATAGCCAAAAGGACTCAGTGAGGGTAATAATTTAAGTGAGGGTGGCTGGAGAGAAAAAGTCTTCAAGTTAGAGAGGTTTTTAATGCATTGTTTTCAACAGTATTTGGACAGGGACTAAATAAATACTACTAAGGCAGGTTCAAGTGGTACCTTGTAATTTGACCCTAATTTGTTGCTGAACTAGGGTCAAATTGCAAAGACAACACTAATTGCAAGACAATGTTACATGGTATGTTTTCTACAAAACATTTGATGTTTCATGTCTCTCCAGTGCTCAAATTGAAAGGCAGAGGTCAAATTGAGAGTCAAACTGCCAGAAAATTTCACCATCAAATTGCTGGATGGTTCAATTGTGGGAGGTCAAATTTCAAGGTACCAGCTGTATTTGACTTACAGAGGTTTGGCCCATCAAGGTTCAACTAAAATAGAAAACTCAAACCTCACTAAGTTGAATTTTTTCAGGTCCTTGTCTGAATTCCATTTGAAACAGTGAATTAAAAACCTCCCTAGCTGGAAGGCTCCCCCCCCCTCAAACCTGCCTGGCTCACATTTTTTTACTACCTTTTGGCTATTGACCTTGGAAACAGAAAATCAATAAAAATTCAACTCCATGTGTTTTGAAAGGGAGTGAAAGACTAATTGGGCAAATTGACCCTTGCTATACCATGTTCCGTATTCTCTCAATTCATTCAAGAAACAACTTGAGGCCCAGAAAATCATTCATTACAATTTTCTGTAATTATTTGTTATTTCCTTGACAAAAAGAAATGCTTGCTTCCCTAACTTGAATTTTTGAGCTGGACCCCTGAAATTTGAACTCAAGGGGTTCACCTGAAATATGAACTCAAGGGGTTCACCTGAAATATGAACTCAAGGGGTTCACCTGAAATAATATGGTTCCTATTGAAGTACTGTATTGTATTAGCTCTGTTCCACCTCTTATTTATTTATTTTGTTATCCAACACAATGGGAAGATAATGATCCAAGAGTTGTGAATTGATAGAAAAAACGTTCACATTTTACTCAAGTAAATACAGTATTGGATTTTGAATAGCTGTGGCTGTAACATTGAAAATTGTAGGGCCGGATGTGGCTGCTGGCTGCATTGTATATTGAGCAGCACTTATTCTTTTAAGAAATGGAGCGACAGAGGATGTGTTACAGCCACCAGTACTTCTACAAAGTGGTCAGTAAGCAGGGATCACAAATTACATTTCTTGTCTCTAAGTGCAGCCAGCATAAAGCACATTCTCAAAAAAAGAGTCACTATAAATAGCTAATTACAGTACAGTACTTGTCAACATTTTTTCTTAAACCTGTGCTGAAAAAGACAAAATGGACGAGAATAAAAAGGCACAAACCTGGAAACACGGAAATTAAATCCTAACATCCCTCCAGGAAACACATGTTTTCTGAAACTATTACTCACTATAAAACGCTTATTATTTAAGAAGTGTACTATACCCCAAAAAGAGGTGTGTAAAACATTTCCCAAGGGTTGATTGATGTCATTATTGACCCATAAAATGTATTATAAGACCCTCTTGTCAGCACATCATCTATCATCATCATGACTGGGAATATTGATTTTGCCAACATCTCAAGGAAAATCATACTTGAACAGAAAAAAAAATCATCAACAGAGCTGTTCATCATTATACATTAAGTAGACATACAGGAACCAATATATTAGGGTTGCTTCATAAGTTGTGAGACTTTTTGACATGGATCCAACAGAGTTTCAAAAAATTCCGAATACAATTTTTACTTGCATAGCCCCATCATTTGGTAACACTTCATTGCTGTTCAACATACTCTCTGCAAATTTTAATGATTTTTTTCCATGCAATAAGTTCAACGATCAAAGCAGTGCCAAAAAACAAGTTCTGTTTAATTGTTAGGCACCCTGTCATTTTGGCTGTTCCCAACAGTGAAGAACAATTTTGAAAGGGTTTGATCTTGAGGAGTGGTACAGCCTCATTTTCTCCGTCAATCAAGAACAGCGGCTCAATCAACATCAACTAAAGGAACTCAATTTTTGGCACAGTTTTGGTTGTTGGACTTATCGTACGGAAAAAAAATAATTGAAATTGGCGGAGAGTAAGTTGAACAGTCCTGAAGTGTTACCGAATGATGGGACTATGTGAGTGGACATTTTCAAATTTTGGTCAACTCGTTAAATGGAAAGCCATGCGAAGTATATTAGGGGACATCCATAACAGGCCCCAGCCCAACACCTTCTGGGGTACTACCGGCACGTTTTACCGCTAAGGAAAAAGTGAACGTAGGCCTGTGGGTGTGCAAGTCTCCGGCCGGTAATTCAGCGAACAGTTCAATGGCTTGCACCTTTCTGAAAAGCGCATAATGAACGCATTGGAAATTGCAAACAAAAGGTCCCGCAGGTGTTGTAAACTTGTAATACTCTTGGGTCTATCTGGCATGACTGCTGCATATACTGTACTTTCACTGACACAACTAATATACTGACTACGAAGTGGACCAGTTGTTTTACAGTGCATGTGATGCATATACTCTACAGTATATATATATATACCAAGTGTGGAAGTGAGTTCATAACATTTCTCTTACAATTTGTCGTTTAGGGATTTACATGGTCCGTCGTCTTATTTAACTCTGTCTTGTTAATTTACCCGGACTAAAATTTCACGTATCAGTTTGTTTTTACCAGTGAACTTAGTATTAATTTGTACAAAAGTCAAAGTGAATTTAGCTTTGAACTGTAAATTCTCCTCAAGCAATCTATGAACCACTCAATTTTCCTGGCCTGTGTCTTGACTTGAAAATTGAAACATTCCAGGAATTCTCAATACCTATATATGTACTCGACTTGACTTAAAACCAAGTACCCGACACATTTCATCCCTATCTACTTTGAAGAAAATAAAAAATTATATTGTTTATGAATCCCACCTTTGAATCGCGCACAGTAGATATTCAGCACATCCTGGTCAGGTCTTCTGATCTCATCTCTGTAAGATCCAGCAATCTCAACCACTGTATCAACAAAATTGGTTTCTCTAAGCGCATCCAGTCGCATGTACACAACACCCG